CTCCATACTCTTGCAGAAAATCCATGCCCAAAATGACCGGCCGAGAACAATTGGGCAGTACAAGGAATGATGCTACAAAAGCCGACGCACAAATCTCAAGCCTGGCGGTGCACCTTCCTATAGGGGATACGAGGTGTCCTCCAGCGATGATTAGTTGAGGGCCGTCCCACGTTGTCAGCACCTTGTGTAGACGGGTGGCCAATGAAGCACTCATCACCGAGTAATCAGCTCCCGTGTCGACAAGCGCAGTCACCGGATAACAGTCGACGGAAACAGTAATGGCAGCGGACGTTCTGTTGGCGGTTTCACAAACAGGCTTTAACGGCACGTCGTAAGGCAGCGGCGGAGGGTATTTGTCGGTTCGCGTGACAGCGGCCTCACCTCCGGAGGTCGCCGTTTTCAGTTTCCCCGGCGTGCGCTTGCGCCACTGACACCAGAGGACCCAAAGGTGGGTCGGGCGCGGTGCATTGATGTGGACGGACGGGGTGATGGTGACCGTGACTGTCGTCGCGGCAGGACAGGAGCGCGATGACTACCTTCCAAGTAATCCGCAATTTCTTGTGGGCGTTCACCATAGCGTGGGCAACGTGCATCTGGGTGGAATCCGTGTAGGCCTATTCGTCGATAGTAACAGTCGCGGTACATGTGTTCAACTTCACCACAATGGTAGCACAAAGGACGATTGTCGGGTGCACGCCAGATGGTGGACTTCCGCGGGCCAGGACGAAAATCGGCCTGAGAAGGCAGGCGATGGGCTGGACTTGGAAAGCGTCTGGGAGTCCCAGCTGGTGGATGAGCAAAATGTGCCGTCGACGGCGTAGAGACGCGTAGGGCATCCGCTTAGGAAAGCATGGGAGCTTCGACTTGCGATGGTGGTGAGGAGTGAACGAACTGCCTGATTTCGTTACGAACGACGTCCGTAAGAGCAGCACTACTGGGAGGAGACGCTGCATGAAATTTCCGAAGTTCTTCGCGTACAACTCTTCGCGTATATCTTAACAGGCTGAGTGCATTGAAGAAACTACTGTTTTTAAAAATTTTTGGTACTTTGATGTCTTGGTCTGTCTTGACTGCTCATTGAAATGCTTTGAGTTATTGGGCTCTGGTTTTTAAAAAATGTACTGAACTGCCTCGCTCCACTTCAACTTACCTCTGAATGGCTTGTTCGGAGAAGCATATTATTCATGAACATCAGTTTCACTTTGTGTCCCACAAGCTGGTCAGCTTGCATCAGCTGGTCAGTGAAATAAATACCAGTGGAGCATTCTTAGCTTTATTCTAAAGCTAATGAGGCTCTACTGGTATTTTATTGTTTCATTCTAAACTAATTAAAATGAAGTTTACACTATCCATGTAAGTATAAAAAATTTCACAACATATCCACGGAGTGAATGATGATGAGTGGGGTGAAGTGTCCGCCAGTCTGTCCGCCTGTTCGTCTATCCGCTCCTATCACACTAGAGCACGCATCGGAGAGATGCTTCTCCCAACTCATCATCATTCACTTCGTGGATATGCTGTGAATTTCTTATTCTAAGAAAACCACTGACGCCATCTAGTGATCACATTTCCAAGGACATCTACACAATGCCATATAATTAGCAATGCTGAAAACTAATTAGAAGTGGCTACTACAACATACAACTACGAGGGAATGACCCACTCCCTAAGGAGCTTCGCCCCTAAAACAGCAAAGCTGAGTGATCTCAGTATCTTAAAGTGGCTTTTTGGCTTATGCTTGGTCTTTCTTTGGCGTAGCCAAAGTAGAGTTGAACCACAGCCTGTCACAGGCTGTATAAAAATGTCCGAGCTCCAGTACTAGATTTAACCTGCGAAACTGACTGTGGCAACTCGGGCAGAAGCGCGGGCCTTTTGTCTTTTATACTCGTGTCACATGGTGTGCAAACTCGGCATGGCAGTTGCGTGAACTGTCTCTATCGGTGGGTGCGGCTGATAAGCAATGGTAGAGAGGTTTTTATTCAGTCACCCGACATTTCACCTCGATCTTTATAAGTGAAGCTCTTAAAATAGGAGTTCTACCAGTATCTAATGAATGCAAGCTTCAGGCTGGGAGCTACGTGTCTTTGCGAGGCTGACTGTCCAAGTGGTGTCCTAGCGTCAGTTGCAGGCCTATTAAGACAGGCACAACTGAGAGAAGACTTGTCTTAAATTTTCAAGAAGATTGTGCAGGAAGCCACATAGGTCCGATAGGCACATGCCTATGCAATATAGTGCACAAATTTATAACAGTGTGAAAAAGACATCGTCAAATGCTTTTTTTGTCTTGCCAAGAGTACAAGTGCAATGCATCTATTAAGGTACAAGTCTCCTAGGTAGAAATCATTGAGAGTCAACTTGGCCTGATTGTAGATGCAGAATCAATTGCTTCGGCAGGTTGTATTAGCAAGCACTCTCAAATAAACAATGAAAATTTCTTTGCATTAGCTGAAAGAATCTTGGTGTCACAAGTTTCTTTCTTGTTATATAAATTATTAATGCTTATATATACACTTGACTTTCTTTAAACAAAACCCGAAGGGACCAAGAAAATGTGTCTCGTTTAACCCTCTATTGCATGGCGTCCCATATTTTTACCATTTACCATTTTTTTTCTGCGAATGTGGGCTGTCCACTTGAAAATGTGATACCACTGGAGTAATTCTCGTAGTTATGCGCTTTTATGGTGGGCAAGTGATTCCTTATTTCTTGAATGATGAGCAAAACAAGGGCAAGTGCATTTTGAGATGCGACGTGCAACTCGGTGGGAAAACACGGGAAATTGGTATTTTTTTTTTCTATGAACGTTTTCACCTCGCATAGAAAAATTATTTTGGCATGCTTTATAATCTCATATATTCAAGCCCATTATTAGTTCTCTGAATTTTCTCTGCAACTACACCAGAGAACCTGATATCGGTGTGTGCAAAATTTGGCACAGTATTTGGCACAGCTTCAGCGTGCCAAGAAAAGAACTGTCAAAAGCTTTAGATAGAATAGACAATCGCCAATTGTCGGAAGAAAGGGTATTAGGACATTGGCCGAGACCGTCCTCTGCACGCAAGGCATTGAGAGCGTTGTTGCGCTTTTTGCGGGCAAGTGGTCTTAGAGACAGACTGTAAACAGCGTCGTGGATCGTCTGATGACCTTGTCTCTTTTTTTTTTTACGTCTCTTTTCTCTCATCCTTTATCCCCCTTACCCCCTTCCCCAGTACAGGGTAGCCAGCCGGTCTGAGAACTGGCTAACCTCCCTGTCCTTCCTCATTTATTCCTCCTCCTCCTCCTCCTCCTTGGCACAGTATGAACTTGAAAGACAAAATTGGTATCGTGGTGCCATCTGTCCAGTTAAATGCAAAACAAATATAAGTAATGCGCAGCCTTCGAGCTTTGATTATTCAACTTTCTCCGAACCTGGGGATGAGCACCGCAAACTAGCATGTGCCATGCTGCAGATAGTAGGAAGTTGCGCAGGAAGGAATATAGGTGTTATGTGGTAAAGGTGTAGCGTGGCAGCGCAACGAATGCGTCTATGTCATCACAGGTCACTCTTTCAAAGATGGGATTTTGTCACTCGGTATGGTGCAGGCTAATCGTCTACCGAACTCCTACCGAAAAGCGAAAAGGTACTAAAATGTGAAGGACGTGGTGCTTCAGAGCAACTCACAACCACGATAGGTGATATGGAGTTACCATGTGTGCATTGATACGATAACCGCGCCATATCATTCCTGTCGAGCTTTGATGGGAAAGATCCAGTCCAAAAGACTAAGCACTGGTTTACCTTAGCCAAGAAGTTTCGTTAGAATGATTGCTTCAGTGTAGTAAATGTCTACAACCGACATCGGCGGAGCCGACCTGCTGGACTCACTGCTTGGACTTTACCACATGCATATCAGGTCAAAGAAGTGGCACTTTCGAGTTTTTAGGCATATCTTAGACTTGTCGGTAGTAGCAGCATGGCTACTGTACGGGAGGGTGCAGGAGCAGCGTGGGAAGAAAAAAAGTACTACCGCTGCCTCAACTGAAAACTGAAATTGCTGAATAAGCCTTACCTCTCACTATAAATGTCTACCCGAAAGCGACCAGGACGACCTTCTAGAGAAGACATGGAATTCTAGGTTCAAGCCAAAAAAGAACGGAGACGGCTGACAATGCCCCCCAAAGACGTCAGATTTGACGAAGTTGGCCACTGGCCAGAATTTGATGAGAAGAGACAAAGATGTAAATGGCCATCTTGCACAAAGAGGTCTGCAGTAAGATGCAGGAGAAGCAACAATGCTGCCTAAATGCAGCAAACAACTGTTTCAAACACGATGCTATGTTTTTTGCCTATGGGAGCAAGTCCGCTCCGTCATCTTCATAGTGTGCCATATTTGGCACAAAGCTGTGTCTTTGTTAATACCGCCATTAAAACTCTGAAAATTTTCGTACATGCTTAGGCTCATTCAAGCAATAATAAAAGCTTAAAAAATAATTTTTAAAATGACTTTTTCATTATTCATGCAATAGAGGGTTAACACGAGTTCTATTTACTAAGAGAACAGGGTTGTAAAGTCCAAATACGAAACAAATCATATTAGAAGCAGTTGTTTCATTTAAGAGATCTGTCATGAAGAGTGTATTATATATATATTATTCTGCAAGAAAGTCAGACATAGCTTCCCCCCCCCCCCCCCCCCGCCCTTTGTTTGGTTTGCTGGGGGCCGGCTGTTCTTTACCTCACTTTGTTCTCTCGCTCTCCATGCTAGTTGAACGCGTGCCTTAGCGTTGTTCCAACCACATTACTATAGATGTGTGTGCGTGCGTGTGCACTTCTATAGAGTAGACACAATTAAGTGTACTTACCTGGCTGCTGTTTCTGGTGTTTTTTTGTGAGCTGTTTTTGGTGTGTTTTTGTTTGTGTTTGGAATGTTTCTTTTTGTATTGGAAGGTAGAATTGGTGCATCGTTATGTTTATAAATAACAAATTCTCATTGAATTTTTTTGTTTTTTTTCAATTACAGTCTTCAAAGATACCAGTGGTGATGATGATTATGATCGCATTCTCAATGTAAGTATTGTTAAAGTGCACTCTAATTAGCAGGCCACTTCTTTTCTTCTGATTGTTGAACTTTCACTGGTGACACATCTTAGACAAATGCACAAGTGTGGAACTCTTGAATTATTAGCTACATTTCATTTTTTGTTTGAGCTAAAGTTTGTGTCATAACTCTTGCTGCATAATATGCATGTGTAAATTTGAATTTACGATCCATGGACACGAAGTTTCATGCCTTGTTCATTTGGACCATTTCTAGAACCACTTATGGTTAATGTGGTAAATGCAAAGGCTCTGCAATCGGGAAAACATGACATACGAGCTGGAAATGCCACTGTGTAACTGTGCTACGTGCTCCAAGACATGTGGTGTTCATTTTTTAATTAGTAAATTGTAGTTAGTAGCTAGTTATAAAAGGTTACATTGTTTTGACATCAGTTCTAAACTCTAATAATTACAGTTTTTGTCACTGTTTATCACTAGAAATGATACTAATGGGTAAGTTCATAAAATGAAGGTGCAGTTATTGCTGTGGAAGAGCCCAATGTCTCCTTGACCCAAAAAAAAAAAGGCTAGGCATGTCCACAGCTTGACACAGCTCATGCTTATTATGGTTTGTGGCCACAATGCATCGTGCATCAGACATGTGTCCCAAGTGTCTTGAACATGACCTGAGAGTTCAACAGCTGATTTCAAGTGCTTTTGAAGGGGCCTTTCAAAAAGGATGGGCTGATCTGGGGCACACGAGGAGCTGAACAAGGGGCCAAGACACTTTGTGCGCTTGCTCATCAATCTACACGCATGATTTTGTGCACAGAAACAACATGCTATGTACCTTGCTCATTGGATCTTCCTCGTGCTTATTTCACTTGCTTCTTGAAGTTACAAATCCAGTCCCAGGTCAGCATTGTGACACTATTGACTTATTCAGGCTCAGTTTGCGAAAGGCTGCATGACTTCTTATAAAGAAGTGTTTCAGAGCATGTTTGCGTTACGGCAATGATGTCCTGGACAACAAAGTAACTGTAATAGCTTGCACATTTCCTTTGCTTCTTGGAGATTTATCTTTAAAGTGGCTGCTTCTCTAAAAGCACACCTGAGAAAGAACTGGTTGCAAAGAATGAACTTACTTGTCACTAGCATTGTCATTCTGTTAATCATGTTCAGTAATTTAGTGTGCCAAAGATGCTGTGAAGTAATAATGTAGTTAAAAGGGTAGTGACACTGAATGTGTAGGCTATAAGAAACCTCCTCTGTATGCAAGGACACTCAGCATGAAGTGTTTGGCACAACAAACGTTTACAATATATTTGAATTTGCTTCCAAAGTGTGCCTAAGAGACCCATCATTTTGCTATAGAGACCCATCACTAGCATGTCTGACACGAACGTCGCAGGTTACGAAGTGTAATGCAAGTTTTGGTGGCCTCAGACCATATTAGAGAAACTTGCAATGAGCGGCGACCTCCAGTGTTGAACAGGGCAAGCTAAGAGTGTATCGGCTGGGAACCTACACTCATTTCTTATCAGCGTGTTGCTGAAGTAGCCAAACTTGCTCACATTTTGCAAAGTGCTTCGCATCGTCGAGGAAACTGCAAAGGTGACTTTAAATAATTTGAGTTTGTTCGGACATTTCTTTGCTTTAGCTAGTGTAGCCGTAAATGTTAGACCGGATAGCTGGGGGCAGCTGGTGGCGCTAAGAACTAGGCAAGCACAAATTTCTTGTTGCAGAAATCTGTTGTATTCTACTTCTCTGGCAGTGTGAATTCTCGGCAGCGACATAGTTCTGATTGCATTGCCTTTTTAAAATATTTTATCACCGTGGCCGCTCAGCAAAAACCAACTTTCCTATAATTGCAATTGCACGAAGCATCGCAAGATGTTGATACCATCGTCCAGTGACCCAGTACTTTGCAAAGATCGCTGCGTATACTGGAATTTTGTGTGCACTAATATTCTCGTTTAGAGAATTTTAACGAGTTTGGAAAGCATCGAGATGGTTGCTTGCTTGTGTGTACAAGCGCAGGCAATGCACCACTGCGTGTGTCACAGCTTTATGAGCTCACATGTTCAAGCTTTCTACACTGTGACATCACTGTCCAACTCGGCTCCCAGAAACCAAAACGAAAGTCGTTCATATAAGCAAGGCAATCTCGAATTGTTTAGCAAGAATACATGAATAATGGAGTGTCTATTATGCTTTTTGGAGCACCCAGAAATGTTTCCAGCTAAGAATGCGCAAGCCAAAAATTCGATGTCATCATCCCTTCAATATACCTGTGCGTAAATGTGTCCTAAATAGTATGTTGATATGAAGGTTTCCATAAAATAATTGTCTTTATTTTTTGTTGTTTTTTTTTCGCTTTGTTTCTGTTGTTGCAGTCTTCTACAGCTGAGTATGGCAGTTCACAAAGTGAAAACTTCAGCTTTAATGAATTGAACTGGTCGCCAACTGACACAGAAATGGAGCCCTTCTCTCAGGATTCCAATTACAGCTATCCAGACCCAGACACATTTCTTAATACTGTAAGTTCTCATTTATTGTAACATTGTTTGAAATTTTTCTGAATGTGCTTAGGGAAGAACATTTAATCGGGAATAATTTATGAAATAAGGCATATATGGGTAAATATTGGGGCTTGCTAGGCAACTCTATTTGGAATGCTTGGTACAGTCATCATTTTTATGAAAAGGAACATGTCAACGCTGAACACATGAACATTGGATGGTAAAAATTTCCAGAGCCCTCCATTACATTGCTCCTTATAATCATATTAGGGTTTTGCGATATCAAACCCCAGACATCCTTCTTGTGGCACCATCAGTCTAATGTTACCACGAAAAAGCTTAACTATTATAGCAAAATAGTATGCATGAAAATAGTGGCCTTATTATGGCCTATATTGAATGTTTAAACAGCAAGCAGCTAAGATATGTAGATAGTGTTGCTCTACCATTCAAGCAAGATTAAATTCTTGGGAATGCTGCAGTGCTTAATTTATTGTACTTGGGAAAAGTAAAAGAGCACATATTAGTCACTGAAGTTCACATGGTTTTTCGTTTACTGTAATGCACCGTTCTATTGGAGGGAAAAAAAAAAGCTACATGTTCTATGCTGGGAAATATGGTATTCGTTTTTTGTGTGTGTTGTGTTATGTACTGAATTTCCAGATGTGTTGCTCTTTCAGGTCCTTAAATCTGACCCAACCTTAGCACCAAACCCAACCTCTGTTCCTGACACACCCCCTGACACCCCACCTACGGAGAGTGGCTCCAGCACTCCTCCACATTCACTGGATTCCTCAAGGAGCTTGCTAACTGTATCGGCTTCTTCTGTTGCATCAAAGCCAGTGTCAGCACAGGTTCCTCCAGTGACACCAGCTAAGGTGGCACCTTCTGTTGTCATGGTATCCTCGCAACCAAGGTCAGGCCTGGAAAGAGGTGAATGGTTCAGACACATCTGTTGATGTTTACTTACAGAGTGTAATAATCCTTTCAAGGTGAATAGCTTTCTTTGGCAACTACTGTGTAGAACGGAAGTTCTGCTTGGTGCTGTTGCCGCTGTTGTTAAAGTAACCTGCCAAAACAGGTGTGCATGGCAATAAAGGGGCTGGAATCATCCCCACGACTTCAGGGTGTGTCACATCATTGAGTACCTCGTTGTAACTGCGCGTGCGCACACATGCCAGCATTCACGCACGTGTGTACACACATGTGCGTGCACACACACACACACAGAGAGAGAGAGACAGACAGACAGAGGAAAAATATCATGAATTAAATGATATTGAAAACGACTTTCAGATACTAGGAAACCACTAGGCATAATTCTAATAACCTGCCACGAAGTGCCTACCTTCCAAGCTATTTGAAGGTTTTACCATTTATGAGAGCTGCCTCAATTAGACCCATTTTGACCCTTTCAATATTGTTTGCAAAGTTTACAGAAGAGGTTTTAAATATGGGTCCTAAATTGAGATTGACTGAGAAGCCCTTCTTCAATTGATATTCCACTTCATTGTGTAGCTAAAGCCACGTAACTTTCTCGCAAGTTTCTGTCATCCTTATTCTTGTTTTCAAAGTTCAAAGCTGCTCCTATGTTATATTGGGGTATGCCAGGACAGCTTGCGTTGCTGAATAAGGTTTTTAATGGTACAATGCTCAGGAGTGTGTGGAAAAGTGTTGGCAATAAATCCTCCTCGCCACTTGAACGGGCAGTGCACGTGCAGTTTTAGCTTCTTTAGTGGCTTATGGTGGCAGCATCCTCTACTACGCCAGTGTCCCCGATTTCTGGCCATGCTTGCTGCTATGTTGCCATCACTGTGGTTGGAAAAAATCTGCTAAAAGTGGGAGAGGGTAGTACCAGGAAAAAAAGTGGTGAATTTGTCGCCTCTAAGGCAAGTAACTCCATGTTATAGAAATTTCACCTTCTGCTTTGCCAGCTTTTATGGATTATAATGTGCAAAAAAATAATAAAGCACGTAAAAAAAATTTATCCTACATGCATTCTCACTGACAGTAGGTTTCACAACGGGTGATAAAATGGAGCAGAGCAAATACATCAGTTCCACACTGTGAAGTACAGTGCTGAACACAGATGTCACTTCCGATAGATGTTCAATGCCAGAGAGCCACTGCAGCCATAATATCTAAAGAAAGAAGAGGGATATGCTCAGAAGCAACTTGCTACAGTAGCTATTGGCTAATGTGGTATGTTGCTCAGCTCAAGGATAAGGGCTCGATTCCTGGCCATGGCAGCAGCATTTTTGTATATGCGAAAACCCCTGTGTACTGAGGTTTAGGTGTATTTTAAGGTACTCTAGGTGGTCAAATTAATCAGGAGTCCTGCCTACAGCAGGCCTGATATCAACATTGTGGTTTTGGCATGTAAAACCCCAGCAATTTTTTAAAATTTTTACAGGACATGAGATGGAGGTCTTCAAATCTCCAATCACCGAAGAAACCTATTTGCTTTTTTGATAATAATTTTTTCATGCTTTTGATTGATGACTACCTTATATTGAACTTAAAGGTGCTTAATGTAGGAATTTTTATGCTGACCAAAAGCAACTACATTTAACTATTGTGATAACTGTGCCATTCATAGCACAATATAATGACTGAGTGATACTTCAGTATTATGGCATGTGCCAATATAGTATGATGACTTTTATATATACTGCAGCTTCTCATAGGCGTACTTGTACCTTTTCAGGGTCAATGAGGTGCATATAGTACATCCCTCGCAGACTCCTTCTAAATGTTTTTTTTTATGTTTTACTACAACAGTGCAATGTCTATTGCTTGTGCATCCAGTCACACGTGGGAACGTGGTGGCTAGCTATTGTTTCACCTTGTGTTACATATGGTTGAAAAATTCAACACTCGCAGGGCTGTGTAAAATTACGTCATAGAATTTCAAGTATACCTCAGACCAAACTATTGAATTTATTAACCAGTCGTCCTCATTCTTACTGCAAGTTCAGTCCTAGGCATGTCGTAGGGTTGAGCAAAACAGTCAAAACAGGCAAAATCCTGATAGCCATTGCTGGCTTGCCTTTATTTCAGCTATTGTAAGCAGGTAGTAGCTGTAGTTTTAATGCACTGAATAGCTATTTGAAACCACATGAGTTGTCAGTCAAGACATTGAAGGGAAGGGTGTCATGTATGCACAGAAAAAAAAAAAGTGATGCTCATGGGTAAAGCTTGCAATATGGCTATGCACTTTTTAGTATCAGCTAAATGTGGCTGTGAGTTGGAGTGGTATTTCGGTTTATAGAAAGGACGGAAGTATGTGCATCCCGAGTTTGGTGAAGGTGGTTCCTTGGAAAGTAATCGGCCTGTTCAAACGCGACCTATAAAAAAACAATGCTCGCAAACATGTACACAATAGAGAAGAGATCAGAAGTGCGGTGTCTTGGCTTTTCTCTTGTGTCTTGTGCTTGCACATCCCACCAACTCAGCTCTGCGTTTTTCTAAGCAACCAATAGTCTAGTTTTACGCATGTGGGGAACTCACTGTTTGTGGAAAGATGCGTAATAATAAGGTAGCAGTGGCTGGCTCAATAACTGCCATCTGCCTGACTGTTATGCCTATTATGATGCTTTGACAGCACAAAAAACGCTGCTGCTCTCTCGGGGAGAATTCAATCAGCTGGCATCACAACGAGTGATCACCATTAAGACACCGACAACTGGCACTGGCAGTGTGAAGAAAGCAGCTGTGGTGCCCAAGATCGTAACTTCTCAGCCAATTGCAAAAGTGGTCAAGATGACTATTCCTACCATCAGCAAAGTGACTTCTACGGCTAGCGGCAACAATACTACGCCTGCAACTTTGCCTAGTGTCAAGACAGAACCCATCATGGTCTCCACTCCCACTGGAATCTATGGAGTCTCAACCACGCTTCAACAGCTTAATGATGTGAGTGTTATTATAAGTTCAGTGATAAATACCTTTGTGTTAGTATATTATATTGCTGTTTATGATATGCATGCTTTGGAAAAGAATTGCTGATCTGTGTGGCTGTTTGCACTGTTCATATATATATAGATGCTGAAGGGAACAAGAAAAAAGAAAATTTTAATTGGTCACATGACATATCTCGAAGTCAGATCCACATATCTTTATGGTGTTGCTATTTTGTAGCATTTCTTTTTACAGTTGCTCTGTAATTGCCTGTCGCTTGCTTACAATATGCTTTTGTTTGCAATACAGCTGGCTTCCGTTTATTTGACCCTCAAGAGATTGACAAGAGACAAAATTGGTCAAATCATCTAGTGGCTTCAGATAAGCAAGAAGCAGAAAACAACAACTAAACACATCACTGACTTGTTAGGTGGTAGTTGCCCCATTTGTTACTCATCCCGAACTCGAATAAGCCTCATGCGCACGCGCTTAGATTATGGGGTGATTGTTTATCAGTCTGCCACACCAAGCGCTTTGAGAATGCTCGACTCTGTCCATCATTGAGGCATACGGCTCTCCACGGGTGCTTTTCGCACTTGTCCTGTAGAGAGCCTGTACATAAAATCGAACGAGTGGTCGTTGCAACTACAAAGATCTTACATGTCCTTGCTATATCATTTTAAAGTGAATGCAGATAAAGAACACCCTACACATTCGACTATTAATGATATGTTGAGTTCTGCACTGTTTTGCAATCGGCCTTCGCTGCGACAACCCTACTCAATTTGTGTGAGGTGCCTGTGAGGAAACTGGTGTGCCATTTGACCACCTTTTGAGTGCTCCTGCAGCACACTCGCCACCGTGGCAGTGGCAGTCAATAAACTGCGATGTGTCTTTCTTAAAGGTTACAAAGCATGCACCTATTGTACACATCCACACATACATTATGGAACTTCAACATAAATACACTTGTCCTGAATTTTTACTGATGCCTCAAAGTCTTATGCTTCTGTTTCGTACGCAGTGTTCGGTCCATCCTTTTTGGATGCCGGTGCTCTGCATCCTTACACAAGCATCTTCACCGCAGAAGCTTTTGCGTTACTTGTGGCCGTTAAGCAGATTAAAGATTTGAAGCTAGAAAAGGCAGTAATCTACACAGATTCCTTAAGCATTGTAAAAGCTCTAAAAACTCTTAAAAAAACACAAAAACCCGGTCCTTTTCTCACTTTATTCACTACTATGCACAGTGTACAAGTCTAAACAGCATGTTGTAGTGTGCTGGGTGCCAGGATACCGCGAGATCCAAGGTAACGTTATGGCGGACCAGCTAGCTGCATCTGTCCATGACAGTGCTGCTAATACATCCGTAGCTATCCCTGCTCTTGACCTAAAACAATATCTTAAATGAAAGCTTAGAGCTTATTGGCAGAGCACATGGGATAGTCACAGAGAAAATAAATTACACGTCATTAAGCCGTTCCTTGGTAATTGGCCGCTAGCATCAAAATCATGCCACACAGAAGTTACACTTACAAGGCTACGAACAGGACATACACACACTCACACCTTTTGTGTGGTGGCGATCCACCCTTGTGTGATAGATGTGAGAAATCACTTACTCTCAACCACATCCTCATCCAATGCATCGAACTAGACAATATTAGAAAAAAGCATTTTTCCTTAGCTTACCATGAACACATTCGACTTCATCCTGGGATGTTCATTGGCAAAGAACCACTTTTTAAGTATCAGTCATTATTTGCATTTTTAGATGAAATTCAAAGCTTCAGCATCATATACAAAGGAAATCCGTAGCATAACCTCTCCGCAGAAGTTGTTGCTGTGGTAGCTACTCTGAGAAGCACCTGCCTCTCACCTTTTGGTTTTCAAAGGGGTCGAGGAGGCAGTCGGGCTATTTCACAATCGCTCACTTGTTGATACCATGATCACTTGTGATTCATTCCACCTCGTACATCAAATTGCGTATCGCTTTCATAATTTTAAACTTTATACACATATTTTATACTTTTATACAGCACGTGATTTTAGGCCTCTATACAGCCGTAATACACCTTGTCATCGTAATCATTAGTCATCAATTTTATCGCATCAAAAACATGGCGCTCTTTGGCCACCCATGGCCTTTGCGCCACAAAACTCCACTAATCATCATCATCATCGAACAGGGGCTCACGTTTAATCACTTCAATGTAGAAAATTGCCATAAGAATGAATTGGAGCACACAAACTTCATAGAAGTCAAATTTGCACCCAATTTTACAGGGAAAAAAGAAAAAAGGAAACATAGTGTAGCTTAGGTTCCTGCAATTATGAAAAGTGGCAACCAGCAAAGTATGTCATCACATGATGAAACTTAAACTAAGGCCCTTCATCATCACTCTAGGCAGCACTTTGTTGCTATAAAGAACCCAATATGTTGTTCCGCTTGTAATCACAGGCAAGTTTGTCGCCTTGCACTTATAAAATTGCTCCAACACATGCAAGTTGGATAATTGCCTACGCCAGGCTAACCACTTTGCTAGTACATTTTGCCACATGTGCAGTTCTCTGGAATGCTGATTGACGACACATGGTGCAACTTGTTGCCACTAGCTGAACATGTAAAATAATTTAATGTCGAAAATGCTCTCATAATCAAACTGCAGGTGACATGTCTTCATTATGGTGTGCAAACTTGCCATTCATGGCCACCATTTTCTGAAGGCACTGGGGATGACATTGGCCAAACAGGCTGTAACTAGTTCGTTGTGAATGCGTTTTTTTTTTTTTTTGGTTTTGCATCAGACAGCACCGCTAGAGGAATTTTCGGGTGAACTATCTAGAAAAAAGTTTTTTGATCCACTGTGATAGAATATAAGTGCTGTATTAATTCATTAGGAGCTACAGCAATTGAATTGATTTATGTGTTCCTTATTTCTTTTTGCTTATTTATTGCACTCTTGTGTTTCTTTTTTATACTTTGCATTGTCTACGCATTTTACAAAATGTATCAGTTCATGTTTTCCTAATTTTTTTATTGTGCATGCATTGAACTACTCTATTGTTCCTTTTGCCTCTACAGTTATTGCTTGCCAGTATTTTAATGTCGTTATGAAGCTATGTCTATACTTTTAGCCAATTCATCTTGTATAATAACAGGTATTCACTGTGATGATTTAATTTTTTGTGATGTGCCCCTGACCCAGTGCCTCTAAGGAGGCCTGTAAAGACTTTTTAAATAAATAAAAAAACTGTTTTCATAATAATGTCTTCCTGAAACAAGTTGAAAATAGGTCATTTCAACTGGGGATGTCACTTGTTTAATGCATTTACTACGCCCTAAGCACTGTGAAGTGTGAGGCTGTTTTTGTGTAATCAGGACCGCTGCAGTCACCATTTTACATGTGCCAGACACATGTAAAATCACCAGCCAAGATAAAATCATTTGGTGTAGGTTATTTCAGAGTTCAAGCAGTAAAAGCTTGCTTCCACTGAAATGCATGGGTTGGTGGTGAGAGAATCAGTTGAGAAATCTTATTCACTCAAACCATATTAATGGAAGTCTACTGTATTAAATTGCTTCGAATGTACCATTGAAGGGCTACTCTCTCTACAAGTACAGTCATTTGGAGTTGAGGTTTGTGTTGGTCTTGTGCTTATCTTAATTTTCTTGTTTGAAGCAAATAAGTAGAGAATAGTATTAAATAATCTTGAAGCAAATAGAATGAACTTAAGGAAAAGGAAGGTAAAAGGAAAGAAAATCATGCATAGTAGCGGTCACTGCTGGAAAATTGGCCTTCGGATGTGATGATAGGCTTTTGATTTCACTTTAAACACTCGGTCTTCATTGACCAAGGCTAGTTTCTACTGTATTAGGCGCTCATAGTTGTTAAAAATACAGTAAAATCTCATTAATTCTAAATCACAGGGACTGTGAGAAATCTTCAAATTATGCAGGTTTTTTAAAGAATAGAACATATAAAAAGTTTGATGCGAGAAAGTTGAAATTGTTCAAAGTAGTCGGAGCTGGTCGCTTTCTGTGTGGGCTAGTTTGCGGCTCCAAAAGTTGTTTTCAGCAATACCAGATCACTATTTGGCCGCAAACAAAAGGGAACTCTGGGCATCGCTTCTGTCACACACAAAAAAAAAATCGTGATCAACTGAAATGTGTTCCTGCAAAAAACATGACACTGCAATACAGTAATGACATGCGTGCAGCATGTCACTTGCTTCTCGCTGCATCAGCATGTCACAATGCGACTATTCTTTCTAGTGAAATGGAGAAGTTAATAATCTACAATGTGACGAAGTTCGCGATGTGTTTTGACTGGAAAACATGATCATTGAAGCTTTCGAACTTGAAGTAGGCATTACAGGCAAGTATTCTGCCAGCAGTGCAAGTGCGCAAATTGCTGTCCACCAAAATGTCGTTTATTAATTTCTTTATATTCCCAGAAAAAAATTGGTGAATCACGATGTGCTGGCGTTTCAAGAAGCATGCGACATGCTGCTCCCACTGTGTTGCACCACTGTGTTGCAGGGAAGCATGTCTTGTTTTCTGCAGGTGCACATTTCAGCTGATCACAACACCGTTTTTGTTTTTTGTTTTTTTTTTGACGGTCTTCTTTTTGGATTGAAAGCATCAAGGCTGGGATACTTCAGCTGCCACTTATTAGTATCTCTACAGTATATTGTCTAGTGGCCGTTAATGGCGGTCGTTTTCGCTGTTTTGTGGCGAAATCGGGATCGGCAATTGGCACACTGCAACCAAAGTTTTCTAATTAACCGGACAGATGCTGACTGCTGCTTCAAATTATCTGCTCAAACTTGCATTCCGAAATACAAGACCATGGAAATACTTAAAATTAAATGGGATTTTGAAATAACCGAGTACGAATTGAGGAGAGTTTTACTGTACTACGCAATAAGAGTGCCTTACCCATAGTATCCTACATCGTTTTTGTTCATGTAATAACATTGCATAACTGTGAAAAGTAAGTTTTTATGGTGCTCTGTTTTTTATAATTGTAGAGCAAGGCATTTAAAAGGCAACAGAGAATGATCAAAAACAGGGAGTCTGCCTGCCTGTCACGAAAAAAGAGAAGAGAGGTGAGTTTCTGTATCCTTATTTTTGAGGTTCAAGTACATCCACATACCAGTGCAATAATTAGTAGTTGAACCCGTTTATAATGAACTGAAAAGTGCCGTGATAAGTGGTTCAGTGCCGTGATCAGTAGTTCCTTGTATATGGACTCGCCCTTACAGAGACACTAAATAGCAAAACGATTTTTTCGTATTAGCAGAGTCCTTCAATGCTTTTCTGGTCATAAAACTCCACCTTTAGTTTCATACAGGGACAGAAGCTGCCGCTAGGGTTCCTGCAGTCAATGCGGGGGCATCCGTGCGAGTGTGCTGCTCTAGGTTGAATTGTGTGCCAATTCAAGCCAATGCTTTATCTAGCACCAAACCGCCATAATTTAACTACCACTCATACTTCATCTGACTTACAATGTGGCTGTTGCATAAGCGTATCAAAAACTTCCTTTCGCATATTTTTTTAGATATCAAGACGATGGATCCAGTTGTCTTGGACACAGTATTCGTTGCATATGTAGTTCCAGCATGGTTTCTTGTTTCACGCAGCGAAGTGCGGGAGTATTTACTCAGGCACACAATATTTAGTTGGACTTCTGACACTGCACAAACCTTATAAAACCACCATGCAACTCGCAAAATAGTCTCACAGCAAGAGTTGAGCCAGCGCTTATCGCGCTATTTACAGTCAGACTACCTAGGTTGCGGTACATGGTAGCATTACAAAAAAGAGCTACATTCCAGTGTTTACAGTTAATAAAAGGCAAGTTTACTACGCTGCCACCTGACACACATAGGTTTGGTAACACTTGAAATCGGGAATGACGAAGCTTTTGCAAGGTTACATTCGTGTGCAGCGTCCATACAAACTGATCTCTAGAGCCTATAGCCTAGCCTTAACTCTGCACTTGCAACCACGAGCTGTTTGTTTCCGACGTGTAACTTTCACAACTACATGTAACTTGGTCAATATTGCGCAAGCGAAGGTGTGGCGTACTTTACATTGTGCAGCGTCACAAGGGGAGGATAAACAACAAGAGGGAAGGCAGGGAGGTTAACCAGGCACATGCCCGGTTTGCTACCCTACGCTGGGGGAATGGAAGGAGGCATAAAGATGAGAGAGAGGAAAGAGAAGAGAATGAGAGAGAGAAAGAAAAAAAGAGGATTGTCAATTAATCGGCTGGCGCGTATGCAGTGGTGGCACTACACAAAAGTTAAAGGTGGTCACGTAGGCCTGTAGTCCTCAAAAAGCACAAGACAGCTTTGACTGCCTTTTGAGCTGACGAAAGGCGATGACGGTGTTCCAGTAGCATCTGCACAGAGAGTGGCCGATCGTCCAATTGTCGCAATGCGTCCGAAAGCTTCTGTCTTTCAGAGGCAAATCGAGGGCAATGGCATATCAGATGGTTGATGTCTTCTTTGGTGCAGCAGACGTCGCATTCCGCAGCGTCACAAGGGCTCTCAAGAACGGGGGCATCAAGAACGGGGGCATCTTCACAATTCTTGTTCCTTACGTTACTTTCACTGCTTAGATGTACTACATTTGTGCCACATGATGCAACGAATTTCTTGATGAATACTGCTCACTGGCTAGATTTGATTAAAATAATTGAACCATTGTTTCTCTAATCTAAAGGAAATAAGCACATGCGCTCACACGCAGAGCTCTGTCACGCTTTTTATTTATTCAAAACATGCAAACCACAACGTGGGCATTTGTTTAAGAACACAGTGTCAAACCACTAATTTATAGTAAACAAAGCAAGAATGCTACGATTGAAGGAGAAAAAATACTGGAAAATTACCTTGGAAAACAAAGAACTATGCATGACACAGCAAGAGTTTAACAACAGGGTATCAACTGCTACCATAGTGCTTCATAAAGAAAGCAACAGAATACCAATCAAGAAGGGCGTAAGGCAGGGGGATACAATCTCCCCAATGCTATTTACAGCGTGCTTACAGGAGGTTTTCAGAGGCCTAGAATGGGAACAGTTAGGGATAAAAGTTAATGGAGAGTACCTTAGTAACCTGCACTTCGCTGATGACATTGCATTGCTGAGTAACTCAGGGGACGAATTGCAACTCATGATTACGGAGTTAGACAAGGAGACCAGAACGGTGGGTGTTAAAATTAATCTGCAGAAAACGAAAGTAATGTACAACAACCTCGGAAGAGAGCAGCGTTTCGAGCTAGGTAATAGTTGTAAAAGATTATGTCTACTTAGGGCAGGTAATAACTGCGGAGCTGAACCACGAGATTGAAGTAACTAGAAGAATAAGAATGGGTTGGAGCACATTTGGCAAGCACCCTCAAATAATTACTGGTGGATTGCCACTATTCCTCAAGAGGAAGATATATAACACCTGTATCTTGCCGGTACTTAGCTACGGAGCAGAAACCTGGAGACTTGCAAAGAGGGTTCAGCTTAAATTGAGGACAACACAACGAGCAATGGAAATAAAAATGGTAGGCGCAACCTTAAGAGACAAAAAGAGAGCAGAGTGGATTAGGGAACAAACCGGGGTTAGGGATATCATAGTTGAACTCAAGAAGAGGAAATGGACATGGGCTGGGCATGTAGCGCATAGACAGGATAACCGCTAGTCATTAAGGGTAACCACAAAAGCATTGAAGTACTCGGTTCATAGTAAAGTGCGATTTCACAATCACAAAAACACCATCCTTACTGCGACACGGTGCTTAATAAGTGAGAAAACACTTGAAAAGAAAATGCGGGTGGGGACGCCACCTTGAGATTCTTGCATCAAACACCGTGACGTAAAAAATTTCGAAGGCGTCTACTGGGTTCTACCTAGCTTCCAATCGATAAAATTGAAGTACATTGTAATCTGTGTGTGCCATAAACTTAGCATACTAATTTTCCGAAAATTTAATCCAGCGAATGCCACGAACATGCCGAAAATACGTTTTGAAGTTTCTTACGTCACATGCAGTGACTTTGGCGTGAAATTTAAAAACAAAACTTCACCCTTGGTTTCCTCAGCCAACTTATGATAGTGAAATGTTCTCAGACAGGAGATTGTCAATCTGAGCCAAGTCATTGTTCCTCATAAGCGTCCCTTTGAACGGTGCTTAGCAACCGAACAGTATTTTTTGCTGTGTATTTTTATTATTATGTGCTAATACCCCCCTCTCCTTCCCCTGGAGACAAGTTCGGCCTTTTCGCATGTTAAGTTATGCCCGTTGTGTGTTCACGAGTGAATGAAACTACATTTGCAATGAACTCGCCCAGTTCCACAGAGGTGTGGTACGGCCATGTGGAACCAATAATTTCTGGCTAGTTGTGTGCAGCACATCCCTTACTCAGCTCTTGCTGTTGCGTACCAGGCCGTTTGCAGTCTAATATATGTGTGTTTTTGTGTGTTCTTTGTGCATGCTTCATTCCGGATCGTGCTCGAGTGTGGCAAGTAGCCTGTTCGTTCAACATGACAAAGACATGCGTTTTGCAAGCAATGTGAAAGCGGCTTTGCGCGGTGCGGTGGTGGCGAACTTGTGAATGGTAGTATGACGTGCATGTCATACTACCATGACTGCACGGTTTAAACTTGCGCAGCTGAGCAGATGTCTGCACACAACTGTGATAAGGTTGGGTTGTCAGTGATGAGTCAAAATGGCTTGTTCATCACCACTGGTCACCACGTCTTCACCCTTTTATGATGCCATCGCAACCGTGCGGAAGTATTATCATTGATCGACCAGTCCCTGCTGTTACTGCAAGGCGAAATACCTTTTGTAACACATTGTGGCTTCGGCGAGTTGAGCATCGCAGTGAACTTTCATGCGACAAAGTTATCGCTTCTTGCATTTGTAGCTTGTGTTTGAAGGCATTATTTGGTGAATTGTCAGTGGCTGTAGATGCAGAGAACGGCGTAATGTTTGCTGTGCAAAAGCTGCGTGTAAGTCTTTGTGCTGCATCCTATTTCTTATTTTTTTCTCTCTGCCATTCTGCTAGTGAAGAAAGGCCTAGTAACTGAGCGACCTCGCTCACATCGTTCAGAATCTGCGTGCCATGCTTGATATTTTCATCGCAAGTAAATGGCAGCTGTCCACATGCGATTGCATGCTTCTCACATGCTCTTATGCCTGCCTGCTTTACCTTTTTTTCCCGCTTCGCGTGCACCATATTTTTACCGCTACCATGTCAGAAGAGTTGGTTGTAAATCTGGGAGGCTTTTAAAAAAATGTTCACTATATGCGAATGCAGTTTCAATAAGTAGCATAGTCAAATAATAACTGTACCAAATTATGGTAATTAAAACCAAAAGATTGTTACATCTGGGATCATTATAAGCTGGTTTGACGTCGTTATGGTAAATTAATGTAATAAATAGGAACTGATGTGAGATCAATTTCTGAACTTTTATTGCACCTGAATCCTCAAGGCATACTGGAACACAAACTGTGCTGATCTAATGTTTGAGTTTTGTTGTGAAAAAAAAAAAAAAAAAAAAAACGAAGACTACGGGAATGATTGTTGTTGCAGTTGTCTTATGAATGAATTTAACGTATTGTGGTGCTTCCACCTGTCGGACTTTTATTACGGCTTGATTTAAGCTAGGAACATGTCTAAGTTTACTGTTGGGTGCTGTGATGCTTACTTTGGTTTTATAGGATTTCTGTGCAAAATATATATTTCCAAGAAAAATGCATAGTGCCCGAATCAGGAGGACACTATTGTGCATGTACGGGCACTGACCTATGTGCCGAGGTGCTCTTTTAAAGACGATAGTCTTTCTTGGGGACCTTCGACGCAAAAATTTTGGTCTGTCTGTATGTCCCTACATTTGTCTGTTTGTCCGTCTTTAACGTTGCTCTAAACGGCAACAGACGATACCCCAAACGGCTGACTCCATCCACAGCACCCACCAATATTGCTCAAGCTTCAGTGTTCATACTTGTGCAATTTTCAATTAAAAAGCAATTATTGCACATATCTGAGGCACCATAACAACATGTATATATTCTGCATGTTCGTCTCTTACTAGAAAAGGCATACATAAGTAATTCTAAGGACCGTAGCGTTTATCACGATGCGCTGACCATGCAATGATCTCCCGAAAAGGCAAGTGTTTCCAACGCTTCGATAAGACGACACGGTGGTGGCACCTACCCGTTGCATGGCGTTCTACGCCTTATCACCTCCGAGACGGGGGCACGCCCTGCGCTTCGTTTTTCAAGATAACTGCCAGATAGCACTCATGTCTCACATGTGACGTGACTTGATGCGCTTGTTCGCCTCCGCTGCACGCACGAGGCACTCTAACGCAGCGCCACCAGAATACCATTCACCGATTTTCTAGCGCAGAACATCAAATAAACGTTTTGTTCAGTCGCTCCAGATACAAAAATATCCTCTTTCGACGACATTTGCAGTGTAGCATGCAGATACGGGGCCATTTTTTTTTAGTGTTGCTTGTTCACCCTAATTATGTATTCTTATTATTTGCCTGATTAGTAAAGCTTATCCTATTAGTTTCTGAAGTTAGTCATCGATTGGATAACAACTACTGTAGAATACCCTCAGAATGATTGGGCAAAAAAACTTCTGTGAGATTGCTTGTTTTAGCCTACAAACAAAGGCGTTCACCATTCAAGCAAAAAATTTCCGTGGTTATGTAGTGTGACTGAGCAGTTTCAGTGATGCCTGAAACCACCATAATCTCTTTTTCTTGGCTGTGGTAAATATGCATGACCCTCTCCTCTCCCCGAAAAATGCAGCAGCGCCATCAGCATGCGTGAGCCTTTGTACTCCCATGCCTCAATCCAGAAAGGAGTTGCTTGCCCACTCCATTGAAAAGGTTTATACATATTGTTGTGCAGGCTCCCGGCGATGGTTAGAATCGGTAAACTCTTTTTTTTCATATGCCAGGCTATGAATCATTGCCCAGCATAATCATTTTAAACTCTACTTTTGTACCGTCTTCGTTTGTGTCCTGTGTAGTTTTTTTGCAGCTGGTGAGCATCGTTACAGAAGAGCTTTATGTCATCTTATTATTGACCCTATTTGAGGGACATATTTGAGGGAAAGAAAAGCTTTGACATCTATAATAGTTCAAAGATATAGATGATGCCAGGTGAACTGAAAAGTGTAAACTATGGTAATCTCTTCTTGTAACTTATACCCCACTCGGGACACTTTTTATTGTCACCGAGCGTAATCTGGGCCAGATTTTACAATCACAAATGGCTTGCAGTGGGGGGAAACCTCTGGCCATTGCGCCAACCTGCGCCAACTGGAAACCCCTGCTCTATACTGCTCGAAAAGTCTTTTTTGTCTAATTTGTGCCATTGCTGCGCCACAAGGTGGCTTTGGAACTGAAAGTAATGTTGACCGCTTACATTGTGAGCGGCTATTACGTGATGGTCGCCATCTTGTACTTGCTCTGCTGCAAAAGCACGGAATCAGCCGATCAATTATTCCGACTTCCTGGGGAGTGCCTTTTCGGTAACCATTGGCAAAGAATGAAAGCAATATGGCGACTTCTGAAAAGCACGCCAGTATGACTTATCGTCAACAAAAAGCGTACGTGTGAGGCGTAGCGCCGCTGTGAGCCTACTGCACGCTTTTAATAGCCGGCGACTGCCTGAGAGTGCTGAGTAGCCGATCGCTGCCGCCTCAGTCGTTGTGCAAGACTGTTCGGCATGCACGGCTTTGCAGAAATGAAAGTAGCTCGCTGTTGCGGAGTTGAGCATAGTGGATTGTGGGGACCGAGACAGCAAGCACAGCACGTCTTCATGAAGCGACATGTTGCCCAAACGTGCCTCCGTCTGCTGCCGGGACAACAGGAGCATCCCTTACAGAAAGCTTGCATCGTCACGTTAATTCAACAGGCTTCTTCTCACCACATATGTGCACGATCTGAAGTGAAGTGGGCATAAACGGCTTGGCACGGTGTGTACGTCAAGTAGGCGAAGCCTCTAAGTTAGCCCCATACATTGACATGTATGGAGGGACGCTGCGACAAACCTTTGCCCCCCCCCCCCCCCCCCATGAAGGGAACCCTGCGCACGCTTATAAGCTTGATGGTTAATGCATACTACGTTTAGTGTACAGTTAGCCGCATTCCCAGCAGATTCTCGGCATGTATGTATGTATTAACAATGTTTCACTTTAACAAGCTTTGAATGTGTGTGTATGTATGTGTGTGTTTAGGTGTACACGGCTATGAACTTCATGCTGCAGCTAGCTTGTTGGTGGAATATCGTTCACTGTCTTTTGTCACCTTTTCTGTACATAATCCTACCTTTGTTTATTTTGTGGGCTTGTTGCTTCTGTTGAAATGAATATGTGAACTGAGGGAACATTAAGCTAAATTAAAGCTTAAATTTTTCTCCTCTGTGTGCGTCACGGAAATCTTGCGGTGAGCGCTCCAAACACAGAGTTTGCGGCTCCAAAGCAATTTTTGCGTGCTCCAAAATGCTGGAAAGTATTCCCACCACTGGGCTTGTTTTCTTAGCCTGGAAAAGAAATCGAATCGTTAAGAAGTTGATAAATACTGTTTAATTGGTCTCCATCAGTTTATAAATGTGCCCTGCATGGTGCTGATCTAGGGCAGGAGCAAAGTGTCGGTGATACACCTCAATCTTTATCGTGTATTGTTTCTACTGTTAAAAAAAAAAAAAAACTGGGTATAACAGGTCCCCTTCATATTTTCTGTGCCACCATGCAGTATCTTCAGCAGCTGGAGATGAATGTACGGGAGTTATCCGCCGAGAATTCCAGGCTGAAAGAAGAACTTACTCACCTTCGTCACAGAGTAGCCCAGCTAGAATCTGAGGTGGGTTTGGGTTTTTATCTGGCTCTTTACTGCTCTATTGAAAAGGCACATTCTAGAGCCACTAACAAAAACCCAGAACGAGCAAACTTAGACATATTAAAAATATCCTAAATATATATAGCAGGTGGCAGAGCCACCGGGCAGCTTGCCAACTTTGTGTTACAGTGTACATCTTGATGAAGAGAGGGAACAATGCAGAGGTATCTCAGTCACATGGCAAGATAGGCTCAAAGCAGCATACAGGTGCTTCACTGGTACTAAATGCTTTGATGGACACATATGAGAAGTATTGATTTGCCCTGTATTTGTAAATTATCCTTCCACAGTTTTGGAAACAACACTCTTGTTAAAAGAAGACCGTAAAGCCAGAGAAGTTGCTAAAAAGAAATACAGGTGTGATGCCCCCTAGAAATTTTTGCAGCAGTTTGCCATGATGTCAAAGATTTTAGTGAGGACCGAGGTGCTTTAGATGGGCTGTGGCTGCATTGCGTAATAAAGGGGCCTAAGTCTGTACATGACAGATGTTCAGAACCTTCACAGATTCAATGTGGTCTAAGTACAAAAAAGTACTGTGAAATCTATAATGCCACTCTGATGTAATAGTGTTGGCGTTATAATGCCACTCTGATGTAATAGTGTTGGCGTTAAAGGGCCACTCACCAGGCCCCATACCGAATTTTAGTTAGACAGTGGAAGTTGTTGGGTGTCCGATGAGGAACGTTTTGCCACAAAAATTTTTCGAATCGGTTCATTTCCAGCGAAGAAAACAGGTTTTTTGAAGCGGCGCAAAACAAGGGTGAGAGAAAATGAGCTCGAAACTCTTGCCGCTCCTCCGCGTAGCCTTCGCAAGCAAAACCTCTTCCCCACCCTCTCTGGCATCCGACCAAGAGGTGACATTCGCATGACATGCCTGAACAAGCCCAGCCTCCGTGCACGCGAGCAGCGTTGATTTGTTGACCAGCGTTATTTTGTGGTCTTCTGCCTGTTTCCGCGGGATTGTTAGGAAACGCTGGCTTAGACGCGGTAGAGTAGATGAGCACAATGAGTGTGCGAACGCGTAGGAGCGTTCCATGGCAGTCGTCTGCTCAATGCGCTGACCGCGGGAACCCGAACGCATGTGAAACGCTGGCACATTAGCCGCGCATCTCGTAGCATTTCACGGGAAAAAAATGTAAGAAAAACGTGCACAATTTTTTATTGTGTCTCATTATTTATTTCAAGTTTTTTTCATCTCTTATAGCAACAAATACATAAACTACGCATGTTGCGTTAAGTAATTTTTGCCATGTCACGTGGTATACTGTTGACAACGTCAGAGCAGAGCCATCTACGTAGAGGACCAACGTGACCGCAGTGCTGTGTACGTAGGGCCATTTCTACACCCACGTCATGCCCTCATTCTCTACGGGTGCACCGGTAGAGGGGAGGGCGAGCAGCTTTCATCTTGAAATTTGACCCATTTCCGCGGCGTGCAGCGTTGCAAATTTTTGCAGACGTGATCATGAACGCCTCGTCTACGCATTGCGCTTGTCAGCTCAAAATTTACAAACCTGGTGAGTGGCCCTTTAAGGCATAAAATTGAGAAAATGTAACAGTGACCTTTAATGACCTCTTAATAGCACAAAGTTTTTGGCAATACATTCAATATCTTCAGTTCGAGCTGATTAATGGTTTCTCACTTGTGTTCTTTTATTGCTTTTAAATTGCGTGGAAAGACGGTGACGAAAGAAAGGGCAATAAACACAAAAGGACGCGCGATCATTTGCTGTGATTGTCTTTCCACACAATATTAAAGTAGCGGATTCAAACCAACTTGTCCGACTTTCAATTGTGCTAAGTGTTCCTTTAGTCATAACAAATAGTCTACCTAAAAAGATGAATCTAGGCTACTGGCTAAAAGTAAATTAAGAAGTACCGTTCATCAGTAAAAATGCATGGCACAGCATAAGTAATATTACTATCATGGCACATGGCAGTGTTACTACGAGAGCAGTGTTGGCTACCTCAATTTTATAGAATTCTCACTGCCTCATGGCAGCAGCGCATGATTTTACCCGTTTACTTTGGTGTGATTGTGTGTTGCCATGCATAGTGTAGCAAACAGACCATTGATCATTTCAAAAGCTGCTTCTAAAAACTGCAAAAATGTCACAGATAAGCATAAAGATAGGGACTTCGCTCTTCTAGCACTTTTTTTTCCCCTCTTGCAAAATAAAAGTCTGCTGAGTGCAAGATTTTCTAACTGTTCATTTTCAGGCAAAAATAAAACAGCCGTCATTCTCCAATATTAAGAGGACAACTGCTTTCATGGCCGTCATGTTTTTGCTGACATTTAACCTAGTTCCATTCAGGTAAGGTTCAGATCACTCTGTGAATATTTCAAATCTTGCTATTGGGACATGTGTCGCAGTAAGAGCTTGATGTAACTAGGTAACTAATAGGTATAACTCAGTAAATAAAGTTCTCATGATAGTGTATCATATACATATATTTACAACAGATATTGAATGTCATAAAGCTTTTTTTTTTTTCAGAATAAATTTATTCTATACAGTCGAACTCCTTCATAAGAGACACTGATATAAGAGACAAATGGGTATAAGAGACACCAGTGCGCACACATTGAAATAGGGGTTCGTAAGAAAAGGCATACATGGTATCCTTCTTATGAGAGACACCTCATATAAAAGACAAGAATTGCTGTACGGAACATGTCTCTTTTAAAGGGGTATAACTGTAATAAGCTTTGACCATTTTACTCACGGGAGTTCATTTTCATTTCACTGACCTTGGACCACCAGCATTACTGCTAGACTTGTGGCGGAGCAAACTATAGTTGTACTAACAGAAAATAGGAGCAACATTTTGCAATAAATACCATCATGTGTAAAAAATACTTGCCTGCAGTTTGAATGAAATGCGCTTTTCCTTTATTTATATCCAGCTGAAGCTATTTGCTGGTACAACAGGTTAGGTGATCTAGTTTTTGAAGCTTGCATTCGGTCTAATAGCAACATCATTTTTGCACAGCACTGCACAAAAGAGAGTTAGCACTTCTTGTTTATGTTGCATTTTTGTGTCAGTTAGTTCCTTTAAAATACTGTATCGCTGTTAACATTGTTCTAATAAAAATAAATGGGAATTTATTGTCATAATTTTATCGTGCAGTAACCGTTTTTTGCAACATGTCATGTATACGTCATGTGGCTTGAATGGTGTTCAGAGTGCTGCATTGAGGCAAAAGACTGTGCTTGAAAGAATTTCTCAATTTTCACTAATGATGTCATAGGTTTATAGTGCTGTCTCAAATGGTTGTTTAAACAATGCTCAGCGTCATTTCAAGGACACTGTGCTGGACATTCCATTATTTTTTCTGGGTTCTACTCACTAGTGAGGAAATTAAGCATTGTTAAAGTGTGAGCAATGTGTGTTGTGAAAATTTCAAAGTGCGCAGTGCAATTTTCATTAACTTTGCAGTGTTTTAGTTCCAGAAATTTTACTCTAATGAGAGTAACTGTATATTGTAACAACCGTAATTTTTTGTGCACATTGCAACAAGTGTAGGGAAATTGCATTTAGGTGGTTTATTCTTCGATCTTTCTCATTTTAGGCAGCTGACGTGCACCCAAGCATATTTAACCTCCTAACTGCTTTGGACGAGCAGAGCTCGTCCTGCCGAAATTGTCACGAAACTGCTTTAAATGAGTAGAACTCGTCCTAGCAGAATAAGAATCCCCTCTAGCGTTCCAAAACTGCTTTAGACTAGTAGAACTCGTCCTAGCAGAATAAGTACTCCCCTCTAGGGTTTAGGCGAAGAAGCGCGCATTCACGGGTTGCATCGCGTGTCATCCACTAGATGGCAGCATTTTCTCGAGTATTTAGTTTTCTCCTGCGGCAGGAGCGCGGTTTTTGTATGGAAAGACAGCGTGTGGTGGTGGCGATCTATTCATAGCTGACCCATAAAGGCAAAACACAAGCTATACTTGTTTTCGTCATCTTGTTTGAGTGATTATGATTCGAGTATAGATATTTATTTTGTGTCCGGAAGTGAAGACAGCGATGATGGTGAATGTGTAGCTCCTCCAGTGATGATGAAGACAGCTTGCATGCGAACATTGCGAGAGCCTGCCAGTGAAGCTGCCTTGCATTATTCTGCGTTTCGAAATTTTCCGCAATGCCCCGAAGCTTTCCGAGTGAAATACTCCAAGGGTGCTTAATCTACACAAGTGAAGAAAGATGTGGTGTTGGTAACTGTTTTGTTTATAAGGTTTTTAATCTTATTAGTAGTTTGTAGCTCGTTTCCTATGTATTGTTAAGAATTAAACATTATTCCGTTGATTTCACTAAGAATGTGGTGAAAATAATTTTTCAACATCGACTGGCTACTTTTGGTACAACCAGAATTTAAATCAGCAATAAAAAATTTGCCCCTTTCTGACCGGAAATTTTTGAAAAAAATGAACAATTAAGGGGTTAATCTGTTTTAATAGGACTAGTCCATTAGACTTAGCAGTTTATACTTAACATATGAATGATCAAATGTTCTATTTATAGATTCAGAAGCTAACAGGAACAGACTATCAATGTGGGGCTGTGTCTTTAGTAGTTGTATTTTTATAGATTAAAAAACTTTTGAGAATATCTTCGTTATATATTTAGTAGAATTTCTTCAAATAAAAAAAGGACTTAAGTAGCGCACGAGAAAGGCCACGAAAAGACACCCACGGCGCTACTTGATTCTCTCTTCATCTACGTCTTCTCGTTGCCGTCCTTGTGTCCCGTTTCTTTGCACTACCATAGTTACCAAAAATATGCCATACAAACAAGCCTGCTTCGCAACATGGAAGGGACACTAAAGGCAAATATTAAGCCGATGTTAATTGCTGAAATAGCGGTCCAGAAACCTTAAAGTGCTACTTTTATGCCAAGAAAGTGCTTATTTTGAAATAAAGTCACGTTTTAGTAGTCTGCGTCGCGTTAGTACGCTTCAAATAACCTGCCTCAAGTGGAACCTTTCTCGTCACTGTTGCCGTGCACAACGTTGCTTGGCTTTACTGGGCGGTGGCCGACACTACTAGCAGTAGAACAAAAGTAGTAGGAGCCACAGCAGCAACAACAGCCATTGAACATTTTCCTGCCATGGCCTTTGAGATGGCAGGCGTGATTGATTCAACTGGCCCCGCTAGATGGCACGACGCGTCCAGTTTAACCAGGCGAAAATTGAACTTTTGAACCATTCGTGCCTTTCCCCATAGTAACATCCGGCGGTTCTTTTTCCCACGAATCAAACAGAAATGAACAAGCAGCATTTTATTTCATCTATTACCGTATTTACTCGATTCTACCGCGCCCTCGATTGTAACGCGCGCCCGGTTTCCACGACAAGAAAAAAAACTAAGACATCGATTGCAACGCGCACCCATTTTTCTCGTTGGCCCGCTTGATCAACCACTCGGGAAAACGACTCTTTTTGAGAGCGTCTTCCGTTTAAATATGAAGTACGGGGGAAGCTTATGCCTATCTGACGTGCAACGAAGCATTGCTGTCACTCTAGTTTTACCGTGGCCCGATGTCAGTACACAAACTTGCTTCGCCCCCTTCTACTCGACGGTTGTGGTGCCAGGCATGTCGAAGTAAAGAAGCGTCTGATCGGCATTCCCGATTTGCCCAAGCAGGTAGCCGTTGTTGTGCCGCAAGTTTAGGAGGAACCTCTGAAGACTCTGAAGCTTTTCTTCGTACTCCTCCGGCAACTTCCGGCATATGCCCGTTCGCCTTCGGAGGGAAAAGCCTGTCCTCTTCATAAAGTTCGTTAGCCAGCACCTGCTCGCTTTAAAATGGCTCTGCATTAGCCCTTTTTCAAGGGCTAACTGCATAGCCTGCACTTGGAGCAGTTCTGTCGTCACGGGCCGCTGTGCCGCTCACTGCTTAATCACATACTCGCCGAGCAGCTCTTCAATTTGTGGAAACCGACCCTGCTGTGGTCCACTGAAGCCTTTGCGTGAATCTTTGCTGTCGACAATATTCTGCTTTTGTTTCCGCCAGTCCCGCACGCACGTTTCGGGAACTCCGAATGACCGCGATGCGGCCCGCTTTCTGTCCGTTCCGGCACACGCGATGACTTTTCTTTTAGAAGCAGCATTGTGGTGCACTCGTCGAGTTTTTGGAGTCGGCCCTACCGTGCCGTCGATGCTAATGTACTACAAGATGACGAACTCCTCAGCACACGTATGAAGTGCCGCACATGGGAAACACATAGGCAGAAATAACCGACGCGCCATGCCAACGCACGTAGGGGGCGGCCATTTTGTAAGTGGCGATGGCAATAGAATGACCATAATCATTTTTTTTCGTACTCAATTCTAACGCGCATGCGATTTATGAACTCTCTTAACCGGAAAAAAGGTGCGTGTTAGATTCAAGTAATTACGGTAATGCATGTAAGGTTCTTTATTTAGTGGAGCTAGTTCGATTACAAGTGAATAATTGGAGGCAGTAAGTCAAGATCATTTTGCAAATGTCCTGCTCGTGGTGCATGTGTTCTCGTGCATTTAGATTAATTTCTCGGTAAGTAGGACACTACTGTTGATAATATTGGCATTTTAGAAGTTGTCATACATTCAGCTTTCACTCTGACTTAAATTGTTAATTTACTTTAGTGTCTCTTTAATCGACGTCAAAATGTTGCACAATGTAAAAGCCAATATTTGTAGAAAATGTGCAGAATCAAAACCAAGTGGTAGTTTTTTGGAAACCTTGTTTGCCTTTTTTAATTTTTTGAGGAATTATGAATGCATGCAGGAAGTAATCGTAGAATGCAGTTGCAGCATGAAGGAAAATGAACATGTAAACATGAAATACACAGGAAAACACTGGTCCTGTTTATGCTCTACAGGCTTTGTTTGTGCTGTAAATATATTTTGTAATGCCACTAACCACTTACCTCGGCTTTCAGTAGTAGCAGCAAGAAATCATTTTAAAAAATCTAAACATGGAAAAAAAAATTGAGGCTTTATAATGTTACTCCATTAGTGGTTGTGAGGCAATACTAATGTATCTTGGGTAATTGGGTAACGTAATTAGTAATTAGGTTGTCTTCATCTACCATGCAAGGCTCAGAGCAAAAGCTGATGTACTTGCAGTATAATTCACGAGTGAGTCCCTTCCCTCATTTGCGTTGTATAGAAAAGTAATTCAATGTATATGTGGTCTGTGGTGGTTTAGTGGTTACAGTTCTTGGTTGAGGTTTCGGAGTTTATGGGCAAGATCTTAGCCGCGGCGGTCTTATTTCGATGTAGGTGAATTGGCTGAGGCTCGTGTACTGTGCGATGTCGCTGCATGTTAAAAAACACTATTAAATGGTCAAAATTTCCGGAGCCCTCCACTACGGTGTCCCTCATAATCATGCTGTGGTTTTTTCATGTAAACCCCACAAGTTATTATCATTATTATTTCAATTTACTTCATAATTTGTACACTACAGTTAAAGTTCTCTATGCTTTCCCTGGCCTAGCTGTCTTCTAAGTTCATTTGGTTGTGTAACACTTAAACGAGCTCCTTGGAAAAAATTTGTTTTCGTTTGTGCAGTTGTAGCAGGGGCCGTGCCGCAGCAGACTCGATGCTTTTGGTTAGCTTGCTTGGGTTCATTGGTTCACTGTTGCCTTATTTAAAAATCATGTGCCACGTGACGCCCTCCGGCAATAAACAGCATTGGATACACGCCATGTTGGTTATGAGTGGTACTACTATATAACACTCCCAAAGATTACGTGCACAGAAATTTTGAACAAAATGGACAGGAAAGAGCTTTCTGTTATAGCTCAACTGGTGGAACATTCGACATGTAATTGGATGGTTGTGGTTTGGATGTTATTGATAGAAAAGGTGATTTTTTGTTCACTTCATTTCATTTCATTTATACATCATAATTACTGTGTTGCAGGTAAAGTCCCCCATGCTTTTCCTGGCCTATGTCGATTAGATTCATTTTGCTGTGTCTAACAAAAAAAAAAACAAGTCCCTCGAAAAAATTTTCCGTTCTTGTTCTAGAAGTAATCATAGTACACACAAGCAAATGGCTGAGAAAGTTGGTAAAGCAAATTAATAGTTCCTGTAGCTCATATTAAAGGAGTCCTGCAACACTGCTTTATGTAACCTACGAATGACTTCATTGAAGGAGCTTATTTCCTCACGAATCAACCACTTCAAAAATTTTCACAATCCATCAAGTATAATCAAAGGTACGATTTGTCATGCAGTGTAATTGCTTTCTCTCTTCTGTTGTCGTGACGAGCGCTATGGAAGCTCAGCAGGGAGGGATGGCGCGAGAAAAAAGAAGTTACGCCATGCACACATGATGATCTTGAGTACTTTTTCCTGTTTTTCTTTTTCTTCTTTGAATGTGCAGCTTGCTTTTAGTGTGATCAAGAGTGTGCGGGCGAGCACATGGCGGCAATTTGCGGCGACCATGGTAACTATGCAGCTCACAATGCTTAAATTAACCAGGGCATTAATTTTGGTACATGGTGCAGTCTTTTGGGTATATAAAATCATTTTTTAGAAAGAAGAGGAAGCGATTTCTAGCTGACTGAGAATTATTCATAATTTATAGACTGCGTGCTGTACTATAATGTTTGGCGCATGTGTTATTCAGGACTTCGACTTCTGATTGGCAACATTTTCCAACCATGCTTGAAAAGTGTTTGAAGGCTTCAATAAGCATGCTATGTGGATAACCCAGTGGTAGCAGATCCCAGTATAGTCGAACCCCTTTATAAGAGACACTGATATACGAGACAAATTGGTATAAGAGACACCAGTGTGCGTACAGTAAAATAAGAGGCCATAAGAAAATGCATACAAGGTACCCTGCTTATAAGAGACATCTCATATAAAAGACAAGAATTGCTACCCAGAGCTTGCCTCTTATAAATGGTTTAACTGTACTAGCAAGTTATTTTTGTATCTTTTGTTTGCATTTTTCTTATTTATTGCACACAGGTTATTTCTCTCATGTTTTCCTTAGCCTCAATTTTTTTTTTTTGCAAATGGTTCTTGTTACTAAAAAGAAAAAAAAAAGCCTCTTAATTTGTTTCACTCATGTTGCTTACAGGTTGCTGTTCATTGTGTTTTACTTTTGCAGTGGCCTGTTTCGCAACTCGGTACAAAATGGGAGTGATAGGCTAGTGCTCCGCTCAGGGCAAAGCTCAGGGTGGGGCCGGCACCTGCTTTGGTCTCAGTCGGACCTGTCTGCCGAAGATACCAACTTCGTTCCAGAGTTGCAACCATCGGTTTCTGATACTGGGGAGCCGCCTACCAGCAATGGTGGTGACCAGTCAGCAGAATTCTTGGGTGCCCTGGATGCTCACAGTAACTCACACAATGGGTCGTTTAAGTGTCCTTCATCCATCAACCAGACCGAGTCTCTCAGGTGATTTTTCTATAAGATTTTTTTATGAGATGCCTGACACCATTCAGGCAGAGTCCCTTTTACTTTTTTTATGTATCACAGAACTGTAAAATTCGTTCGTATCTTAGAACCTTGTTCATATGATCCCATTTTATAGTTACCTGTTACCATCATTCATGATCACATTTAGGTTGGAACTCACTAAATGTACTTTCATATTATTGCCAATTAAAATGCATTCCATGCTGACAGTGTGAATTGCTGGGCGCTATCTGGTAGGTAGAAGATCAAATCAATTTGATCGTTCTTTTTGTCGCCTCATGCATAGCATCATTGATAGAAATAGTGGATATTAATTAATGCCAACACATTGTGATTACTTTGCCCTCATCATGAGATGAGATTAAGTGAAGGCTGATTTTATTGCTTATTTCCTTCGTTAGTGGAAGCAGAAGAAGTAGCCATACCTAGTTTGGATTGAAGGTGGCAGCCTGGTGGCTGCCATGCTGCATGCAATTGCACTGTCACTGGTAAAAATTCCACGCCTGCCCCTCCTTCTCTTGGCCAGATTTTGCCAATACACTTAACTCCTGACAACCAATTCGTATATAACAAATTATTGTTTATACCAAAGTAAGTCAAGAATAACTGTCTAATAGATACAGTATCACAAATAATTAATCTATAACAAATTTAATTTCTGGATATAAAGAAGTATTCTTGCCGCAGATGTGACTTTGTTATAATGAGGTTTGAGTGTACTTCTACTTCAAAGGCTGAGTGGTTAGGAGCACACTGGTTCAGAGGCTACTGCCATGGTGGTCAAGCACTTCGAGCATCTACCTCTAATGTGGGTGGTGTTCAGTGCAATTCCCAGTGCCACTGGGCACCAAGTGGTCCCTACGCTGGAGTTTTGGTTATTGTATTCGGCTGCTGACCCAAAGGTCACAGGTTTGATCCCGGCCACGATGATCACATTTCGACAAAGTCGTAGAGGAACATGTACTGTGCGACGCTAGTGCACGGTAAAAAACATCAGATGGTTGAAATTTCTGGAGCCCTCCACTACAACGTCCCTGATATTCATATAATGGTTTTATGACGTTAAACTTCACGTTATACGTATTATTATTGGGCACCCACTGGTTTCTTGCAGCTTGAACTGGTAAGAGCTTCTAACAGCAGATTTTGGGAGTGCAGCTGTCTGCTGCCACCATCAGTGTCCAAAGCAAGTTCCTTCTTTTTTACAGCTGTGCCAGTGCTTGCATCTTTTTCGGAAAAAGACCTTATGCAAGCATCATGTATGGGGAGGAAATGCATTAACAGTTGTGATATTTCGTGGCAGAAAAGTAGCATCCCACCAGGCTTTGCACCAAGTCAGCTGCGTAATGAGCAGGTGGTTTAAAGCTTCCCCCTCGTTACCCATTTTGTCTGCTACCAGTTAGCTGGAGCTTGCACCCCCTGTTTCTTTTTTTTTTTTTCCACAATGTAAATTTGACATCATGGAGCATTGAGAATAGTTTGAGAATAGCTTCCCAGGTGCACATATTCCCTTAGGAACATGTAGTGGGCGCTTCGCTACCTCGTTAAATGTGATGGTTTACTGTATAATAGGTACTTCACAACTGCACTTGCTGGTACGCTAAGAGAGTTTACACTTGGCTCTATGAAGGTTGCTCCACGAACTTACACTGTGACTGCACTGCATATTCCGCTCAGGCCTAGTGTTTTTTTTTTTTTTTTTGTTATGGAGAGATAGGTGCACTGTCCAGATGCTTGGTGTACTCATCTCTCAAGAAGATGAGATCTCCTTTCCAGTATTTTCTTTCACCCCCTTTCTTCTCCCTCTACTGATACTGCGCTGTGTTCCCTTATGGTTTGCACTAATAAGCATCTATGCTTTCCTCAAGCCACTATTGAGTCCTAGACTAGTGCTTTGAAATAACCATCCAAAAACAGTTCAAACACATAGACCATTTATACATGGCGCCAATTTTCAGAGTGCTTGAAAACGACCATCTGAATTCATCAATAAGTTACAGAAGAGCAGGCAAAGGGAGAACAGTATTTTTTATGCTCATAATGTGTTTATGGATCGATGCAAATATTATTCTGGAACTGTATGACCATGGCATATGTGATTAAAGAATTTAATTCACTATTCAACATTGGCAAAGAATCATCCTGTTCAAATTCTGGAGTAAGGGACAGTAGCAGTTGTTGCAGCCTACGCGAATAAAGCCTGATGCAAAGGGATATTTTGCTGAATACTTCATTGATATGTGGGGTTCAACGTCTCAAGACCACCATATTTTTATGAGAGACATCGTAGTGGAGGGCTCCGGAAATTTTGACCACCTGGGGCTCTTTAATGTGCACCCAAATCTGAGCACATGGGCCTACAGCATTTTTGCCTCTATCGAAAATGCAGCCGCCGCAGCCGGGATGCGATCCCACGACCTGCGGGTCAGCAGCCGAGTACCTTAGCTAGTAGATCGCCCCTGCGGGGCTCTCCTGAATAATTCTGCTGCAGCAGTAATACTTGCTGCTTAGACCAGTTCCTTAGTGAATGCACGAAGATCACTCCTGCCCTATATCTTAGTAAAATTCTCTGTCAAAATAAATTTTTTTTTTTTTCATTTAAACATGCATCCTAACTTGCGAGGTTTGATTGACAGGGGGAGACTTCTTATGCATCACTTCACTCGCGCTCACTTGTTAGTCACTCATAATGAGCCGAACTAGCTTTTCTTCAAAAATGAAGGACCTGAAGTACCATATAAACCGGAATATAAGTCGAGATATTTTGAATAAAACGAGCTAAAGGCGCCCCCCGTCTTATAGAGCAGTGTCTAGCCGACAGTGCACCGCTGTCTGGCAACATGTGGCTTGCATGTGCATGAGAAGCTGGATACGGCCATATTCACATTCAAATAAAATAGCAGGTTGTTTTTTTTTCTCTCTTGTCTGTTTTTTCGTGTTCGTGATTTGCTTCCTATCTGTTCTAAGTTCTCACTACACTTGACATTGTGTTTCATTTTTAGTGGTCTTTTTTTCGTTCACTGAATATGAGTAGCGGTACAAGAAGGCAGTACTCAGCTGCGTTTAAACTAGCGGTTGTTGAGTTCACAGAAGTGAATGGGAATATGGCTGCTCAGCGCCGCTTTGGTGTATCAGAAAAAAATGTGCGCTATTGGAGAGTGCAGAAAGGAAACTACAGATGCGCAATCCTCGAAAAATGTCATTTTGTGGGCGAAGTGCTGTTCATCCACAGCTGGAGAATATGCTAGGGAACTTTGTGTAAGGAGTTCATGCGTACTCGCTTCCAGTGACCGTGGATTCCATTCCCAAGAAAGCTGTGGAACTCGCTCAAGAAGGTGGGCTCACGAGAGAAGAGTTTCGTGCACCAAACTTTGGGTGCGTCGATTCATGAGATGCAAAGAACTTTCTTTCCTGTGGCGCACATCCATCTGTCAGAAGTTTCCAGACGAGTTCGAGGACAAGCTTATAAACTTTCAGGGCTTCGTGAACTGGCTTCGGGAGCAGAACAACTACATGATGGGGCAGATTGACAATGCCGATGAGACCCCCGTGTGGTTTGACATGCCTTCATCGACCATGATCATGCAGCGTGGCGCCAAGGATATGAAGCTGTTGTCCACTGGCAACGAGCAGTCGCACTTCACCGTAATGGTGGCATGCATGGCAGGTGGTAGAAAGCTTCTGTCCTTCATCATTTTCAAACATAAGACAATGCCGAAGAAAGTGTTCCCACCTGGTGTTGTCGTTCGCGTCAACAGAAAGGGATACATGGGTGAGGCCATGATGCTAGAATGGATACGAGTAGTCTGGAACCGTCAGCCAGGTGTACTGCTGCGTCTTTGCAGCATGCTGGTGTTAGATGCGTTTTTTGGTCACTTAAACAACGCTGTGAAGCGCGCACTGGGTGATGGAAAAACGGATCTCGCCGTGATACCAGGTGGTATGACGTCCACCGTCCAAACGATTGACATTGTGCTAAACAAGCCGTTCAAGGACCGAGTGCGGCTGAAGTACCAAAAGTGGATGTCCGGCGACAACCCAAAGACACCGACGGACTGCCTACAGAGACCTTTGCTTGCGACTGTTGGTGGTTGGGTGCTTTCCACCTGGCGTTCCTTGCCAGATTCCATGGTGGAAAATGCTTTTAAGAAATGTTCCTTCAGCAACTCATTGTATGGCACAGAAGACAACGCACTGTGGGAGGGGGCCAGCGACAAACTCTCGTCTTCAGAAGACAGTGGTGCTTCGCCTGACGAATAGGAACAGTTGCAATGGTGGTCGAGGGGAGCTCCGACGATCGGGGTGCGGTGCGCCCAATTCACAAGTAAATGCCGTTTGGCAATTTCGAGTCGTTTTCTTTTTTTTTCGGTAACCTGAATATGGGGGGTTCGACCTATATTCCCACTCGACCTATAGTCCGGTTTATACGGTATTCCAGTTATAGCGACACAAAACCACCAACTTGACCACTTTAGGAGTTGTCTAAAGAGTAGAGCTGTGCAAATAGTAAAATTTTGGGTGCGAAGTAAATTCGAATATTGAAGTATGAGTGCGAATTGAATATTCTTTAAATATTTTTTTAATAGTTCGAAGCGAAATTGCGGAAAAAAGGAAGTTGGAGAAGATTCCTAAACATATTCCTATGAGATATAGCAGTATGAAAGTGTTTCTTTTTGCTAGGTTGATAAAGCCCTGGTGGCGTGGTATTACATAGTTGTCTTATCAAGAATGAAGCAATGAAGAGGCCAAGTTGTATTAATAGTACACGATTTAGTGCAACCAAAGTGTTGCCAACAACACTTAACATGTCAAAGGCAAAGGTGCTTGTATTTCCTCAGCCTCTCCTCCTTTCTCAACTTCTGTGGAAGCCCAACTTATGGGGCAGACAAAGTTTTGCTCCCTTAGAGTTAGGAGTTCTAAATCTGCCTCGTAGACATCAACATACAAAAACATATGAAATTTTGTATTCCTAAAATCTTTGGGGCCCAATTTTTGGACTTCCTGCCCAAATTTCAGGTCCAAAACAGTATTAATTGAGCCTCTACCTCTGCCACTTCTATCATCTCCATGTTGGAACCAGTGTTTTCCCGTTTCAATACATTTACGGCTATAGTCTAGTCTAAAAGGCAGCTTGCCGCAGTACAGGAATATGTTGAGGTGAAGCTTTTAAAAATTTGAAGTGGCCGTTTTAAGATGACTGCATTTGTCTTAAAATGTTCGACTGTAGCAGAGCCTAAAAGGGAGCTTTGCTGCAATACGAGAATGTGATGAAGTGAAGCATAAAAGGCCTAAAGGGGTCACTTTCAATTAGATGTTGACTGCATTTGTCTTAGGGAAGTTTGAATTGTTCGAATAGTAAAAATTCCAGTGTGAATTGAATAGAATAGCAAACGCTATTTGAAAAATATTCAAAATTTCGAATCATCGCACTCTCCTACTAAAGAGTAAAGAGACCAAACTGAGCTAAGTTGTTTTTGCTCCGCCCACTGCTGCCACACCACCCCTACTTTGAAGATGAATCAGTCGCATTGCACTTGTCTGAGCTGCTCTTATGAAAAGGCTCACCTGACCTTTACCTGTCCTCCATTGACTCCGACACGATGCTCATTTCATACTAGCAGTTAAAAGGTAGTTAGAAGACATGAACAATCACTGCATGAAGAGACATCTTGTGCAGCCATGCTGAAACTACAAGTGCATGCTTGTGTTGTTGCAAAACAAAACTTTGGTTTCCATTTTGGACTGTAATTGAAGGGGATACCACAAGGCAAATGCAATGAAATAAGATTAACATATCTGAACTTCCGTTGCATTGGGTTGTATTCAAAACAAGCTGAGCAGTGAGAGCAGCAGCCCCGAAAAACTATAGTAATACCTCGGCCTGTGCCTTGAAGATAGCAGAAGGTGTGCGACATAGCATGCACAACCTTTTCCCCTCAATAATCAATTGTTGCACGGTTGCTTATTGAAAAGAGCTAAAAAAGACCTTGACAGAGAAAGAAAGTAATGTGACAGGAGGTGTAACATTTACCAGTTGTTTCAGAATGTGCACAAATCTCAGACATAATCCCTACATTGTACAGTAAAAGCTCGTTAACTCGGATCTCACGGGACTGGAGAAAATGTCCGAGTTATCCGAATTCCGAATTATTGAATGGATCATGAGAACAAAAGGAAAACGTACACGGTACAGACAAACCTTTATTTCTTAAAAAAGTGCATTATTTTTGCCTGCCTCACCGTCGGAATTTCTGACAGAACGATCTTATTTAATCCCATCAGGTGGTGGTGCACATGTTCACTGCCGGGAGAACAAATGCAGAACTCCTCGGGGACAGCGAGAGCTTTGGCAGCCTCCTGCACGGTGCAGCGACGTCGCGTCGGCTCATCCTGGCCGTCATCATCAAAACAGTGATTTTGGTCCTCTTCAAGCACTTTCAATAATATATCATCATCAGTCAGCGGACCAGCAATGGCAACATGATAGTCTATAGCGACGTAGTCTAAAATCTGGACGCAACTAGGAAGGAGAGAGTCAAAACGCGTGTTATTCACCTCGTCGTCCATATTTCCAGTGGGCTCGCAGGTGTCCTCTGGAGTGGCCTCTGGAGGAATATCCGAGTCATCAGGGCGGACAAATCCGCTGTGCCAGAAAGAATTTGCAATAACCACGAGCGGCGTTTCGCTCCAGACATGAGCCAAAATGTGAATTGCTGTCGGGAGAGTCACGTCACATTCTCGCCCTGCTTCCTTGCCCAGCAGGATCCGTTCCACCACATGCTTTCTGTACCTGCTTTTTACGTGCTGAATTATCCCTTGATCCAGCAGTTGCAGAGCACCCGTCGTGTTTGCAGGTAGAAATACAAGTTCGATGCACTCCAGCCCTGTCACTCTGGTATGAGCTCTGCAATTGTCCACTAAAAGTAAAACCGCGCTTGTTAGCGGAAAAGCGGCGGTTGAGTTGGCGCAGCCAAGCTTGGAAAATATCCAAAGTCATGCAGGCCTTTCTGTTGGCGCAATATTGCACAGGAAAGTGGTGAATGTTCTTAAAACACCTTGGGTTAGTGTCCTTCCCGATGACTAGCAGTCGCAGGCGCTCAGTGCCTGACATATTTGAAACGAGAAGCACAGTGATCCTTTGTTTGCTCCTCTTCCCTCAAACGCACGGGTCGCCCTTGAACGTGATCATTTTGTCTGGCAAGGCTTTAAGAAAGAGAGCCGTTTCATCGGTATTGAAGACGTTGGCAGGCTCATAACGAGCCAGGTACTGGGGAAGCTCAGTTGTCTTCCAGTCAGCAATACGCCATTCATCCACTGCTGCTTTTTCCCCGCACACGTTTAGAAAGACCAACCCGTGCCTTTCTCTAAAGCGGGCAAACCAGCCTTCAGACGCACTGAAAGATTTGATGTTCATTCTCGGTGCATACCTTTCAGCTTGCTGACAGATCAACGGTCCCCTCCAAGGAAGCTGGCTGTTCCGCGTGTCTCTTATCCACTGCAGCAGTGCGTCTTCCAGCTTCGGGTGTGCTGCCGTCCTTAGTCGTTGTCATTTGCCGGTGAATTTGTCGCTGTCAAACGCCTCGAAAATCATTTCTTTGTTCTTCACGTAGTCTCTTAAGGTGCTTCTCTTAACATCGTACTTTTTCATTATCTCCTGTCGAGAAACACCTGCGTTCACTTCTTTCAATATCATAACCTTTCGTTCAAGATCATTTGCTGGCTGCTGTGGCCGCTTAACTCCTGTGACGGTCGCCATAAAGCGCGACCACGGCGGCAACTCGCACAAGCACAGCCGCAACACGCGAAGTCACAACACAAAGAACCAAGACACGAAGGACACCAGTAGGCATAGCATGGCCGTAGCGAGCAGCTGTTAGTATACACTGGATGCGCCGGTGGCCCAAGCGCTTCCGTCGGGTGGTGACTAGCGCCATTTAGCCACTTCCCCCTCATTCACTATCATCATGGTCATATTCTGCTGTTCGCTTGGTTTCGGTTTCTCCAAAACTCCGGTTCTGCCGTCGGTCAGTGGGTCGGTTACGGCAAGCGGTGCTTGAGCCTCCAAGCCGCTGAGATCGCGCGACTCTAGAGTCCCGATAGCCCTCTCCGGAGTTGTCCGAGATAACCGGTGCGTGGCTAAATCCCTCCAAATCACTGAGCATTTGACCTCATTGAAATATACACAGTTTTGCCAGGACCGTGCCGCGAGTCCGAGTTAACCGAATTTCCGAGTTAACAAGGTCCGGATAAGCGAGCTTTTACTGTACGTGTACCACAGGAACTATATGAGACAAACCAGCAGCGCTGTTCACTCATGGCAAAGTTCTAATATGGTTAACTGCATTATAAGCGAATTTTAGTGCTTTAATTACGAGATGTAGTATAAGCCTGCTTATTATAACTGGGCTTGAATGTGTCCTGTTCTTTTTCTTCACGCTACAAATGCTTGAACTGCTCTTATCTTGAAACACACTGCAGACGTTGCCCATAGTTACAACGTGCACAATTCATGATATGTTGGGCAATAAAAATATGTGAAGAAAGTGTGTTATCAAGGTGTATCACTGTGAAACACAAGGTGTATATAGTCTATCTCACAAGCTGCTTGCAGCACTGTGGAAGCTGTTTAGCCAATAGGAAGGTGAACATTTGTCATGATGTACCCATCTGCTCCATGTCGTCTGCTCAACATCCTCGTAGAGTCGGCGCTCACATGTTAGGCGAATAGAGTGAGCACTCGGTAGCATACAGTGCTTTCAGTGTTGGGCAGCAGTGGCTGTGCCAGAAAACAAAAACTGGCTTGGGTGAGTAATGTGCGCACATGGCAGCAACTAATACTGTTACAGTCAACTGCCGATTTTTCGGACATGCCGGATGATTCGGACATCTTCACGGCACTGCCACGAGCCCCATAGAATAAATGTATAAAGAAGCCTGAAATTTCGAACGCTCAAATCCCCCGGAGTCCAATTTTCCGGACTTTTTGACGCGACGGAAGGTGGGAAACGACCACTGACCTCCAGTGGAAACTACCACAACTGCGTCACATGCGATTACGATTGCATAAATGAGCGCGCCGGTCTACTGTGGCGGCATCTGTTGCTTAGACTCGTTGATCGTTAGGGGAGAAACACACACGGCCTCCCAGATTCCTAACACTGGCCGTGTTTATCGTGCAGGGGTGCTTCACTGACAATCGATACTATCCACCTGGAAATTTTTTGGCGCCAATAAAGTTCCTTTCGCTTTAGCGCTTGTGCTCGTGCGTGCTACTCTAGCTTCCCGCGCAGCGCTTTCGCGAAGCGTTTCACCACTTCGAACTAGATTTAACCGTCACACACCGATTTGGTCTGGCCACGCTGGCTATCTTGAATGTTTACCAGCGCCACCTCCGGAGTACCCGAAGCACCGTCGCCTGCCGTCGCACCGTTTTGTTTACGCAACCCACATGGTGTTTGGCTAGCCTAGTGCATGGTTGTGCGTTCGTGTGAAGTGTGCTCTACAACGCTAAGCCTAGGTGCTTCGACGCTCGTCAGCAAACTCCTTTGTTCACATCGTCTGCTGTCGGAATGCTTGCGGACGCATGGAAGGCAGTAACGCAAGACATGCTTCGCAACTGCTTTCGCTACGCGGGCTTCGTACTCAACACAGAGGCAGCAGACTTGCCTAAAGAAAGCGACAGCGTGACTGACTTGTGCCCTCTCATGGACGATATTATCAACGACCTCCGCTCTGCTGGTGCTTCTATGCCTACGGAAATAACCTTTGAGTGGTTCGTCGACCCTGACAACGAGCGCAACTTCTGCGCAGAGCTAACCAACGTCGAAATAGTCAGTCAAGTTATGGCGGATTCAGACAACTCCGATGTTGAAAAAGAGGAACGAACATCTGCGCCACCTACGACTGCCGAATTGATGCGAGCATTGATGGCGCTGTCATCGGTGTACAGTGATGACATGACCCTTGCTCAGATCGAGGCAAATGTGATCACATGCAAGCGGAACGCTGTTCAAACAAGGATCAACAAGTTTTTCAAGCCATTGCAGCTCTAACACCGGCTGCCCTGACGGCACCCGCTGTCGGCTGCATGCATTTTTTTTTTTTCAAACGGCTTTTTTCATAGCCACCCCTCTGATGCTTTGGCAGAGTTCCAGAAGTCTGGTACTTCGACCTTGACCCTCTTGATCCGAGAAATATCACATAAACAAGCAGGCAATAGACAAGCAGGCATGGCTGAACAAACAACTGGTCTTAATAATCGGGACACAATATACCTGACACTTTGACCTCAGCGTGAGAGGACACAAAGCGATAGCTGATTCCACTTGTTACACATGGGAGTCCACACTGAACGTCATTGCCTCTGCAAAGGCAACCTGTGTCAAGGCCAGCGAGCGAGCCTGTCTGACACCATCAACTCAACGACGTCACCAAGCGGCAGCGCCGGTTTGTCTTACGCAATGCACAGTGAGCTCCCTCAGCCCACGGACCCGATAGCAGCCCGATGATGCAAGCGGTGCCACCCAGTCTGCAGAGTCTTACGCAATGTGTGGCAACATCACTCGTCCTTGGGTGTAACCCAGCGCAGCGGCTCCGGATTTGAGGATCATGACGCAACCCAGCGGCGAGTCCCTGTTGGAAAATTCTGATGCGACCCGGTGGCGGTTCTTATTGGACGTTGATGACATAAAGGATCACCTGGGGCCTATAAAGAACCACGCGGCAGTTCGTCAAGCAGCTGACCTATGCGTCGGAGAGAAGACATCTCGGCTCTTCGAGTCCTTAAGCTGTCGGCCCCAGTGCCGAATGTGTAACGCCTCTATTTCTATGCTGTACATAAACCTTGCCTTAACTCACTGTCTTCTTGTCCGCTCATCTATCAGCTCTGCGCAGAAGCAGTCGCGAGCTGAGAAACACACGCTACCAAACAGCCAGTGACCTTGGCAGCGGCGAGTTTCGTAGCAGTGGCGCCTTCGGGACCGTGTTGGCGTCGTGCTTTGTAACAGTGAATGGCAGCTGCGGGATCGGCCGGCGTCAGCGACATCGATGCAATGAGTGCATCGATGAATGAGTTCGCCAGACTACTCTAGCAAAGGTTATAGTAGTTTAGATAAGGGCTGTGTGAAGCATTAGAGTGAGCTTTGATAGTTTCAAGCCAAGTCGAAGCGCTTTGAAACCAAAGTTAATGCGGAGGGTGTAAACACGGCAGTGTTAAAAATTGCTTGCGCGTCTTGCTAGTCAATTTATAGTGGGTACGACAAGTACATTCTTAACAGGGACAAACAGCAAGAGGCTAGTGTGAACGATGGAGAACCTTAAAGTGAAGGAACTCATCGAAATTTGTGAGAAACTTGGCCTTACTTTGGGTCGTGCGAAACGAAAGCAAGCAGTCCTTAAGATCATGAAAGATAAAGGAGTGATGATTGAGGAAGTCTATGAGGCCTGGGTGGATATCAAAGCACGTCACAATGAGGCTGAAAGGCATCGCGAACGCGAAGAAGCTGAAAGGCAAGACCGTCGTGAGGAGGCCGAGAGACAGGAGCGCCTCGAGTTGAAACGAATAGAATTGGCAATCCTACCGTGTTCGCAGGCGCCTAGCGTAGCTTCTGCGACAGTCCAGGTCAGCGGTCAGAGAATTCGGGACCAACTGCCATCATTCGTAGTAGGCGAGGACATAGCGAAGTATCTCGTCAAGTTCGAACACGTCTGTGAGCGAAATGCCTTGGAGCGGTCTCTTTGGTCGCAGAACCCGTTAGCTCTTCTTCCCGTCGAAGTGTCCGACATGATAATGTGCTTGTCGAGAGAAGCGTTTGAGAGCTATGACATGGTTAAGGAAGTGCTCTTGAGACATAAGTTGTCAACCGAAGCTTTCCGGCAAAGGTTCCGGTACGCAAAATAGGGCAATGAGTTACCCTTGACTGCCCATCTCGTTTTATAATTGAATGGCTCAAGGGCGAAGGTCTTTATGATGATCGCAATTAGTGGTAGAATGCATTGCATTGGAGGAATTCTACCACTGCATCGAGGATGATGTCAAGCTTTGGCTGCAGAACAAACTTGGCGAAGTGCGGCTCAACAAGGCAGCAGAGTTAGCTGAGGAGTATTATACTCGCTGAAAGTTGCATAGCAGGGCAGTGCGCATTGAAAAGGATGAAATGAGAGCTTTTCAAAGAAACCTGATCAACGGAAACCCACTCCGCACCGTAATTTCAGGAAGGACCCGTCTCTTACGAAGGACACTGCAGGGGAAGGGCAAACGGAGCGGAGAAATCGAGTGAGGTTCCTAAACAACACATTGATACCACATGGCTGTTTGTGAATCACTGAAGCCGTCAATCTGCTACAACTGCAAAAAGGAAGGGCCCGTTGAGGTAAACTGTAAACAAAGGTTTGCTTTCGCAATAATCGGAGAATCAAAAAATAACCCGCGTTTGTTAGAGCCGTATCTCCAGGAAATTAGTGTGAATGGGAAAACATGTCGAGCACTTCGAGACTCAGTGGCAACTATGGACTTTGTCCATCCTTCGATGGTGTCTCCAGACGACTTTACAGAAGAATACGCGTGGATCAGGCAAGTCGCCGAGGAGCTGAGTGCTTGCTTATCAATCGCTACGGTTGTCGTTGAAGGCCCGTTCGGTAAGCTTCGCAACGAGGCGGCTGTGTCTGCCGCGCTTCCCGATCGTTTTTTTATCTTTTTTCTAATAACTCTGAGCAGCTTCTCAAAGAGCAGGGTAAATCGTTCTTCTCCAACTTAGCATACATGGCCCTCATGCGATCGTAAGCGCGGAAGTTTTCGCAGGAACTTGATCTCGTTCAGTGTAGTGAAACACCACCTGCTAAAGAGGCTGATCTGTGTAACCTTGGCGGCGAGGCGCTGGTGCCTCGGACAGGAAATTCTCTGGATGAGTCACTCGAGCTGCCCGTCGCGGAAGCAGTCTCTGTCGGCAGAAGAGACAACATGACGCCATTGAGTGAAAGTGAGAAGGGTGATAGGCTCTAGCCTGTAGCGGTAAGTTGAAGTGAGCTGTCGAGGGTTGATCGAGAAACGCTCATTTGAGAGCAGCGTGAGGACCTCTCGATTGAAGCGCTAATGGAAAGCGTAAAGTTGGGAACAAAGAACAAGAATGTTTTTTTTTTGTTTTTTTTTATGGCAGGGCTTTTGTATCGGAGCTACACAAATGTGCAAGGTCGCAAGTATGAGCAGCTCTTGGTGCCACTAAAGTATCGTCACCAACTATTGGAACTGGCACATGAAAACGCGTGGGCAGGACATCTCGGCATAAAGAAGACTAAGGCTAGAATTTCCCTTAAGATTTATTGGCCAAATTGCTGGAAGGATATCGAAAACTTTGTACACTCATGCGACCCTTGTCAGCGAGCGGGGAAATCCACGGACAAGTGGAAGGCACCCATGAAGTTTGTGCCAATTATCACAGAACCTTTTCAGCGCCTAGTAATTAATATCGTCGGGCCATTCCCAGAGCCTACATCCTGACAGCCCTCTGTGTAACCACAAAATCTGATATAAGGTCATTCTTGGGCCTACCTGGATACTGTCAGCATTACGTGCAAAACTACTCTAGCATGGCCACCCCTCTAACTGATGCACTTCAAAAGTCTGAGCTGATTAAAGTGGTATGGGACTCGGAAAAAGAGAATGCGTTTTGCAAGCTGAAACGGGCCCCAAGCGAAAAGCCCGTTCTCATGGCACCCGATTTCTCTAAGGTATTTGTCATTCAATACGATGCGAGTGATCGCGGTATGGGAGCTATATTGTGCCAGGAAATTGTACTGGTAACGAAAAGCCAGTTTTGTATTTAAGTCGAAAACTGAGCTGCAGGGAAGAGGCATACAATACCTCTGAAAAGGAATGCGCTTGCCTCATGTGGGCCGTTCAAAAGCTAGCCTGTTATGTCTCCGGTTCGAGGTTTGTGGTCGCAACGGACCACTGTCCTCTAACCTGGTTAAATAACATGTTGCCTAAAAGTGGCCGGTTACTGAGGTGAAGCATGATACTACAGCGGCACAACTTGACGTTCGCTACAAGAAAGGAAAGCTAAACGCTAATGCAGACGCATTGAGCCGTGCGTTTTAGTTGGTACTCTCTCCACCTTTCGATCTTTCGCTGGCGAGTTGAGGCAAAATTTTGTCCTCATCACGGTCTTAGCTGAGCGCACTTGTCCAGAGTGATCTCAAGGGGCCAACTTTATGTTGTATTCTATTTCATTATGTTGTTGTACGTGTAAAAATTTGAGTTCTCATTTTAAGAGTCTTGTGTCCCACATGTGCCTCTTGATGTAGAGGGAACGAAATTTCGATAGACATGTAGCAAGGTGTATGTTGTACTATATTTTGTCTGATGTTCCGTAGGGTAATCGAGGGCACTTGCTTGTCGTGTGTTGTCTGTTGTCAAACCGTTCTTTACAAGTTGCAGAACCATCTATAAGTACTGAGACCAAAAATTGTCAGAAGAGTCGAGCAAAGCTAGTCGGCAAGTATTGGCAACAAGGCAGTGTAGCTGGGATCCGCCCTCAAGAATGGGATGTGTTCACAGAACTGATCCTGGAGCCACATCCTTTCCCTGGTCCTGGAGGCGAACCTGGAGGGACCTGTGAACGAGCGCATCTGACACCTAAGCCACGTGAAAGCAGCTCGTCTTTCCGGCGCATTGTCTGGCGGCTGGGGTGCTGTTACACCGAACGTTATTGTCTCTGCAAAGGCATTCTCTGTCAAGGCCAGTGAGCGAGCCCGCCTGACACCATCAACTCAACGACGTCATCAAGCGGCGGCGGCGTTTTGTCTTAAGCAACGCGCGGCGAGCTCCCTGAGCCTACGGGCCCGATAGCAGCCCGATAATGCAAGCAGCGCCAAGTCTGGCGACTCTTGCGCAATGCGTGGCAACATCACTCATCCTTGGGTGCAACCCAGCGTAGCGATTTCAGATTTGAGAATCATGATGCAACCCAGCAGCAGGTCCCCATTGGAAAAATCTGATGCCACCTGGCGACAGTTCCTATTGAATGTTGATGACATAAAGGATCACCTGGGGCCTATAAAGAACCACGCGGCGCTTCGCCAAGCAGCTGACCTATGCGTCAGAGAGAAAACATCTCGGCTCTTCGAGTCCCTAAGCTGTCAGCCCCAGTGCCGAATGTGTCACGGTTCTATTGCTATGCTGTACATAAACCTTGCTTTAACTCGCTGTCGTCTTGTCCGCTCGTCTATCAGCTCTGCGCAGAAGCAGTCGCGAGCTGAGAAGCACTCGCTACCAAAGAGCCAGTGACCTTGGTGGCGGCGAGTTTCGCAGCAGCGGCGTCTTCGGGACCGTGTTGGCGTCGCGCTTCATAACACACTATTCATTTATGGCTGTCAGGATGGTGGGCCACTAGCAAAAATGAGTTTGGATTGAAAAGGATGTTTGCCTCTTCAAGGGTGCTGCAGTATTGCTTCACCATCACAGTTAGTAGCTATCAATACTGTAATTAAATACTTACGATGTGCATGGGAATCATGATAAGTTCATCATGTATTGCTGTGACGTAATACATGCCAAACAAATGCAGTTCTAACATTCTCCAGTTATAATGCACATACAAATAGAACTATGTTTTAGTGCACAAGCATGTAGCTTGCTTAGACCTTGTAGCTTCCACTCTACTGCAGCCAGCTTGTGAAATAAGAGAGCAGATGGCAGCTAGCTTCCCGAAGGCTCTTGTTAGAAGCATTGATAAAAGAAGTGCTTGTGGGTTGCATATTCTATTCCAGATTGCAGAGCCAGCTGCGTGGCTTGGCTAACCATGTGGAGAACATGAACCTGAGACTGACAGAGCAACGCAAGAAGCCCTCCCTCCCAAGGCAGCCACTGGTTCGAAAGCCTCTCCTGCAGACCTGGATTAGTACCCGTCATGCCAGTGGTAGCAGTGGAGTCTACAGTGAAAACTGGTGTGCTCTTCTTCTGCACTTCTCGGGGGCTCAGTAGTCTATCGCAAGTTTGTGGCATAGTCTGTAGGAGCACCGTAAAGTGGCAAAAGCATTTTTTTAGCTGAATCAGACACATATTTGATTTTGTGCCATATATAGCAGCGATTGTTTACCTTGCATATTTCCTGAATGGTTATCACAGTCGCACTACACTGTAATTGATACATATTCAGTTCAATGATGTGCATAGGTACCACACATTGCCAAAATTGGAAATTGTTCCCATTCTGCCTGGCATAACATGATGGGGCCTTAAAGTACGCATGTCTGCCCAGTTCAGCCCTGTGAAGTGTTGCTTTATCCTATATAAGGCTATTAGTCTGATAGGCTTATATTTGTCTTTACATTGGTCTATTTGCTTCGGTAGGAAAGCCAAAAGAAATGAAGAACTCTATGAGGCAATCCAAAGGAAGGACGACACATTCTACTTTGTCTCATTCTCTGGGGTAAGTAGCATTTGGTCTGTATGTATCTTCAAACTGTTGTACTGTAATGTTCACTGCGGTGGTGTTCAGTTGCGGTGCTCGGTTGTTGACCCAAAGACCACATGTTCAATTCAGGCCAATGTTGATGGGGGTGAAATGTTAAAGGCTCGTGTACTGTTAAAGGCTCGTGTACTGTGTAATGTCAGTGCACATTTGCGAAGACCAGATGGTTGACATTTTCAGTGCACTTAGCTACAGCATCTGTCATAATCATTCCATAGTTTTGGGACTTTAAAACTCCATATCATACCTGCCAAGGTATAATCATACCTGATATATGTCAGTGCACATTTGCGAAGACCAGATGGTTGACATTTTCAGTGCACTTAGCTACAGCATCTGTCATAATCATTCCATAGTTTTGGGACTTTAAAACTCCATATCATACCTGCCAAGGTATAATCATACCTGATCCATACCTGACACCGGGATTTCGACTATTTGTTACGTTTGTACGGTTGGCTGGAAACTTCCCGGAAATCAAAATTTCTGTGTGTGATCTGGCCGCAACAACAAAAATTCACCCCAACCCTATTGAGGCTTTTTGCAAAACTGTTGGACTATCGCATTATAATTTAAACAAATTGGGAGGTGTTGTAAACGTAAGTAGAATCTCAGTGGTACGAATTCGCGAAACTTCCCAGCGGAATTCCACTGTGTTCAGCGAACGAAAATTCATTTGTTCCAAACACTTTGGCGCGTCGCACCGGGAGGTACGAGCTACGGTACCTAACCATCAAGCAATGGCGAAGAGCAACATGCTCGAAGCTTCGGAAAGACGCGCGCGGCCAACGAAACTCCCGTCACTCTTGATGCGATCATACTGTATGGTGACGGCAAATTGTGAAACCTCCGTAAGTGCACGCGTGTGCAATGCTCGCCCAGTCAAAGTGACGCTCCTTTCCTTAAACGCTGACAACAAAACTGCGACACGTGTAATCATTGATAACAAAAAGCAACATAGTTTCGGAGGCACGTGACGGCCAGCGCACGCGGATTATTAACGGAACTACCGTTTGCCGCAACCACCGGGAGCGAAACCACCGTCGCTTCGATGCAACTATTGATAGGGACTACGAGCTTCGAAAATACGAGGCAAATGCTGCGATAGATTAAAGGTGATAAAGGCTTTAAAAAAAAAGATCCCTTTATCTAGGAATCAGTATAACACGAAGTGAAACGTGTCTTCACAGGGGTATTTGAGCATTTATTGTACATTGTTTCAGCAATAGCAACAAATTGCAAAGTCACGTCAAGAATATCAAGCAGCACAAAGCATGCAAGAAATTAGCATACACAGGATTAGCGCAGACTAACAACTGTCAGAGCTGGACACTTGAAGCGCACTGTTTAAACAGAATAAAAAATACATAAAACGAGTGCACTAGTATATACAGGACAAGCGCGAACTGTCACAATTCTCACTTCGTCACGTGTCAGCAGAGCACTCCTTTCGTAAACGCGGCTGTGGCAGCGAGCAATGGCCTTCATCCTCCCCCAAATCACGAGTCTGATAAGCGCGTGTGCAGGAGAGACCACGCTCTGTGAAGGCAACCACATTTAGAGCGGGCCCAACGCGAACCCGTTGCGCCATCTTTCTAATGATTACGAAACCGCGCTAAAGTTTCGGAGCTCTGAACACCATTAAACCATGTATGGTGTATATAAATAGCTTGCTGTTTGCATCCTCAACAACGTACACTTTGTGACATCTGTGCGTTGCGAATCGAGAGGTTGCTGGTTTAACGCCACGTGATGGAATCTTTCCTTCTCGTTTTTTTCTCTGCAATCTCTTAGTGCAGTAAACTCCCGTTAAGACGAACTCTGTTAAGCCGAATTCTTGCTTAAGATGAACAACACGAGAATGTTTGTTGGGTTTCCCACAGACTCAATGCAAAAAAAAAATTTGCTCAAGACAAACCGCATAACAGGCCTCTTCTGTTACGACTTAACTCTCACAGCGACCATTCATGATGGGGATTCTGCCCGAGGAACAGGAGAAAGCAAAATTAGATGAAAAAAGTTTCCAGGTGCAAAGACTAAAAGCAAATTGAAAGCGAATTGTGACATGGAGGGAGAAAGCGAGAGAAGTTGAAAAGAAAGGTCAGCGCATAAAGCTGGTATCTCTCCCATCGTTAGCCTGTTGGTGGAGAAAGAGCTGGCTTTATCAGCAAAGAAAGCAACAAAAAGCGTTCGTTTCGTATTCTTCTTGTGTTCTTCAGTTCCCAAACTCAAGTACAGTGGAGAACAGAAGAACACAAGAGCTTGGCTAGAGGCAAAAATGCAAGGGAAGGGGCAATAAAAAGCCAAATGAAAGTGAAAACGGGAACAAAGATTCTCTGTGCATTATAATCACATGATACAGAAACTACATATGTGGCGCAAGCACCCCCATCAGAAAAGTCAGATGCATTGTCATCGCAGTCATACAATGGCGCCCGAGCACATGTTGTAGTCAGTTTGCATTGTTTTGCATAGGGCCTGTGCACGTCATATCTTTCACCTATGAAATGATGAAGCATTTTTATTTTGAAAGTGCACAATAAAGGAAGGTCATTTTGCACACTAAATATAGCTGCGTCGTGTTTTTTTTCTGTGTGCCTGAGGCTTGTGATTGTGAGTAGCGTAAACGTAGATCTTCAGCTGCGTGTCGTTAAGGAAGATTTGCTGTGGGCTCAATATTTTAAAAAATATCCGAACCTCAAAGAAAAGCTTGCAGACTTTCATAAGCAACTTGGCGTATAATGGCGTAAAACTAAGCTAATAAGCTAAGGTAGCGGTATGCTATGGAGACGTGTTCAAAAGTGATAGCGAATTCAGGAATACAACCTCTCAGAAGTTGAACAGCCAGAAGAATAAATTTTGCATTCTTTGAAGGAAAATTGTGCTTGTCTCACCCTTTTTAATCTTTTTTCAATTGTCAAAATAGGGTCGTGCTATAGTTTTATTGCTAAAATGTTGTGGGAGTTTATTCGTGAGCATATTATGAATTCACGAAACCGAGTACTCGTTTGATTAGTCTGATTACTCTACTCGGAAGCATAGTTTTTATCTAGCCAAGCCAAATAAATTGTTTTTCTTGTTCCTTTCCTCCCGGTAATAAATAAATCTCATTCAGCATTTTCAAGCAGCACATTTCGGCGTACTTGGCATGTTAGCATTCGGTTTTTGGGGGCACTTTTAATAAGACGAACTCCTGATAAGACAAACAAATGATTGGGGTCCGTTGGAGTTCGTCTTAAAGAGAGTCTACTGTATATATTTTACGTCATATCCATGATGGAAATATATCAACGGAGCTGTGGTGGACTCCGGGCAGAAAACACTTTCGTTTTAAGAAAAAAAGGCAGGAAGCGTTTTGATGTTCATGTCAATCTTCGCTGTGACTATGGCGGAGCGGATTTTAAGCTTTGATGTGCACTTTCGTGGCAGCCAGCTGCGCCGTTCTTTATACATAGATATCCATTCGCGAATGTTCCAGAGGGCAAGTTTTTTTGATGGAAAGAAATTTTTTATGCATATATCATGGCTTGAAGTCTAATTTTGCTTCTTTTTTATTTGTATACTCAAAGTTTCGGGCGATAAAGATATTTTCGATTCCATTTGAGGTTTGTACGTAACACTGAGATTCTACTATAGTAGGGACACCCCACCTGCATTGTTTATAAGTGATCATAAGACCGCAATGCAAATGTTTACATTTGTAGGACTGTTCGCATCCCTCCCCTTTCCACTATATTTTTTGTGTGTGTGTGTGTGTGTGTGTGAAAACGAGCAGGGGGGGTAGGCAAAGCAAAACAGCGAGTGAGCGTGAGTTGGTACTAATTCATTAGGACGTAAATGTAGCGCAAAAAAGATGAGGAGAAAAAAGGGAACACCACTAGCACTTACTCACAACTGAAAGCTTTATCGCTAGAACCGAAAATATATAACATCTAAACTTTACGCTCGACTAAATCCCACACCTGTGTATCGTGGGTGAAGCATCATGGGTGAAGTGAAGTTTTGGAAGATTTAGTCTGGCGTTAAGTTTAGATGTTATATATTTTCGGTTCAAACAATAAAACTTTCAGTTGTGAGTAAGCGCTTGTGGTGTCCCCTTTCTTGTCCTCGTTTTTTTTTTTTTTTTTTTGTGCTACATTTACCCTGTAACATGCCTCCCCCTCCCCCGTTGCGGTAATCTCCCCGATTCGGAATGGTTAAACTTGGCAGGTATACCAGATATTGGTATTATTATGTGTCTCTATAGTTTGTCTTGCTTGAATGTTGTTCCTCTATGATGTTGCCTGTGCACTAACACACCGTTAGGCCTACACTGTGTGCAGTTGTGTAGGGAGTGCTTAAGGTTAACTCTCTCGTGTATGAGTGAAAAATCTGACAAAATGAAGTTGTGACCTGTGCAACTTTAAGCAAGGCAGCTGTCCACGTAGGCACCATAAACAGCTGCCATTATGACTCAATTTCTTCTATTTCGTGTGCTGTGGCACACCATAGTGAGGAGTTGGAGGTGTATCCTAGTTTTGTTTTCTGTACTATAGACAAGGGCCTTACACAGTCATCGTGAGGCATAGATGCAGTCAGTGCTAAGTACAACAGAAACAGCTGTGTGCTATAAAGCAGAAGTTTGTTATGTACTCATATCATATTATTATGTATTTATAGTCTGTACTTGAGAATAGCACCTACCTACACCAATAAGCCAATGAGAGCACATGAGGCAAAACCCCATGCGCTTAAAACCAAGGATGCGTTAAACAATGTTCAAAAGCTCAAAATAGTCTAAATCAATATGAAATTTTCTCACGGTGGCATGCCTCATAATCGTAATATGATTTTGGCATGGGAAACCTGAAACTTTGATTTCTAATGACCACAGGAGGCATTTGATGACTGTGCTAATAGTTGCTCATAAACAGTAATGCTGTAACACGTTGTGATATGAGAGAGTGCTCTTGGCAAGGAATTATTGTGAGGGTTGAGATTATTTCACATTTGTCATTCATGCCGCAACAAAAACTTACTTTTTATTTTTCATCCTAGCACTTTCCAGTACAGTGCATGCTTAAGTGCACCTTGATGCATAAGGTCTTAAGTGGGAATGGGTAGTGTTATTCAATACTGAATTATGGTTCCTATATGTATTTCATTATCAAAACAAAGTAAGGCTTGATAGCTGTGGTGGGTCTCCTTTTATGTGATGTCTGGCAAAGTCTGCGCTCATATTTTAACCTCCATTTTCTCCTCTGTTATCTTGTTTTATTTCACTGCCTATACACATTCTTCCTTCGTGAGTTCATGCCTCATATCCTTTTGGCTTCTCTGTACTTCAGGACTATCTTCTATTATCGGCAAACTCTGAAAATAGTACCGCAATGCCAAGAATGTCACTTGTCATGCCCGCAGGAACATTTCATGGTGAGTCTCTTTATTTCATGATGCTTTGTTATTTTGTGCTGACTCCCGCTGTTTAATTTGGGATGCATAAAGAAACTCTTATAAATATTCAAATTACTTCTTTTGTTTAAGGTGTAAAATCCAGCCAATTTCCTTTTTTTTTTGTATAGAAGGGTCTGCAAAATACATCTTAATATGAAATGTTACACTCCAATAAAACTAATCTCAATAGCAAGAAAATAAAGTACTGTATTTAGTTATGTAATGAACACACTTTTTTTCTCGAAAAATCGGAGCAAAGTTGTGGGTGCGTTTATTATGTGAAGTAAATTTTATGAAAACTTTTTTGGAATAAGCGAAAAATGCGGTAATGCAAAAAAAAGTTTGGTCGCTTAGCCTTCCGCAATTGGCATATGTGTACACTGTTCAGAAACAGCTTCTTTGTTGCATTTCACTCATCTTCAGTGGTTGATGGCACTATCGTCTGCAAGCTGCCCCTGTGCTGCCCGAGCATGCCATAAAAGCATTTCACAGCTATCTTTTCTCGCAATCTTTTAACTGCTACAGTGGTATCTGCTGTGATCTTGAGGGGTGCCTAGAAGCGTGTTCTGCGATGCCTTTGCCAACTTTGCGGCAACCTCGCACGACGACTGCGACGACGCCATTGAAATTTTATCAAGTAACCAACGTTGCAATAAGCTACCATCGAAGCATTTAAACAAACTGTCAATAACAAGATTAACGACAAAATACGGCCGCTGCCTCGACTCCACATGAGAAGTTACTGTACAAAAGGTAGCCCATATCTTGTGTTCCTTGAAGTACGCGTGGAAGTAAGCGTGAAAAGCAAATTGCAACCGAAGCATGTATCGGGGGTACTACCATGTTGCAAAAATAATCGCGATCTTTTCTGGGCGACAAGCGATATTTTTTACGGTTTTCCAGAAACATGTGACGCGATGGCGACGAATGGCCCTTTGCGATCGCCATAGTATTAGCAAATCCTGTCATCGTCACTCGAAAACTGCATTAATGTGGTTGGGCCTTCAAGTTTCGTATTTGCAAGAGGCGACCGTCGGTTGGCACGGGCAGTTTCGTGACCTTGGCTCGCTGTCTGCTTATCAGCTGCGATGTCTCCACACTTGCACCGTTAGTGATCCCCGCTCTGGCACATACACAATTAAAAAAGACTGGGGACGTGCTGCGCTCAGATGGAAAGAAAAACAATACAGCACGCAGCAGCAGGCAAAGGGGAGGGGGAAGCGAGCCGAGGGGGGTCGGCATAATAATGAAAAACTGAAAGATCCAACAGGCAAAAAGGCGCCATGTGTCAGTTAGCGGGACTGTAGCGGATAAATGTAGGGGGTGCGCCCCGCCGCGGTGGTCTAGTGGCTAAGGTACTCGGCTGATGATCCGCAGGTCGCGAGACCAAATCCTGGCTACAGCGGCTGCATTTCCGTTGGAGGCGCGAATGCTGTAGGCCCGTGTGCTCAGATTTGGGTGCATGTTAAAGAATCCCAGGTGGTAAAAATTTCCAGAGCCCTCCGCTACGGCATCTCTCATAATCATATGGTGGTTTTGGGACGTTAAACACCAGATATCAATCAATCAATGTAGAGGGTGCATTTATTACACAGAAGAAAAATCCAAATTTTGACATCTTAAGTTGGGGGTGCACTTATTATGCGAGTGCGTTCATTACACGAGTAAACACGGTTGTAAATTTTATAGAACTTGAAAGCTTGCAGCTACACTTACGTTTTGTGTATGGAAGCTGTCCAAAAAATGTTCAGATAGGCAATAGGGCAGTCGAATTTCAATAACATGAAAAAAATCAATTTTTCATACAGTGTAGTGACTGACTAAATGGCTTTCTGGCGAATTCCTGTTCACAGGAGTCATACATCACTTGTAGAGCTGAAAGAAACTCTGGTGTGACGCAGTATTGAGTTGAAACTGGGGTGACTTAAAGAAACACTAAAGATAAACAATATCTTGGTTTTGATTGATAAACTGCTCTCTGAGAACTCAAATGCAGTAAGTTTCTTTATTACAAAGTTCATTATTAGCAGATAAAATTAATGTTGAAGTTTCATTTTTAAATTTCATGCCGAAATCACTGCGCATAATGTAAGAAATTTCATAATGTACTTTCGGTATGTTCGTGTCATTGGCTAGATGAACTTTTATGAAAATTCGTATACTAAGTCTATGGCACCCACAGATTGCAAAGTACTTCATGATTGGAAGCTAGGTAGAACCCAATAGACGCCTTCAAAATTTCTTACGTCACAGTGATTGGTGCAGGAATCTCAAGGTGGCGTTTTCTTCCGCATTTTCTTTTCGCGTGTTTCTCGCTTACCGAGTGTCGTCTCATGGTAAGGGTGGTGTTTCCGGGTTTGTGTAATTGTACTTTGCTAATACACAAAAAATTGTTTTTCTCTTTAGTGTCCCTTTAATTAAAGCTATCGCACCCATTAAGCCTCTGGGGCTTGCCATTTAGTGTGAGCCTCAGGTGCTGCCCAGAGTGACAGTGCTTATTAGTTCTGATTGCCTTAGCATGCGCTTATGAGATCTTTCAGTGACATTCTGAATACCCTTAGCACTTGGAATTTATCCTATTTATTAGAAAGCCTGGAATAACTTTTATCACTTGGAAATTATGGCGAGTAAGTTCTATGGTATTCTGAAACCAGCAGCAATGTGCTTCTTTTCAATTGAGATCACAAACAAGATACTAGCCTTGTTGGTGACATCCATTATTTAGATGACTAAGATTGCTTGCAAGATGAGTGAGAGCAAGTTGCATTTACTACAGTCAAATCCCGATCATTCGAACTCGAAGGAGCCTGAAAATTTGTTGGAAATAAAAAAATTCAAATTAATGAAAGCTAAATGAATGGAGGGCTCACCATGCAGTGGCACATGTGCATTGAGCTAACACATGAGGGGGAAGTTTCAGAGGACTTGAATTTATTCACAAATCACAGGACATCCGTCTATAATTGAAGTAATCAGTGATGCGCATCTGTGAACGTTTGCCTTGCAGCGAGTCAATTTTGCGCGCAGCTTGCTAAGCATTTCTACTTCCGCTTGAGCATTCTCTGGCAAGAGAAGGTGCGCACGGCAATGTCCAGCGCCAACACTCCCTAAAGATGACGACAATAACTGCATCTCTGCTGCTACGCTCTGTGCGGCAGCCGCATCGTGGCCAGCACGTGACGAGAAAGGAGGAACGAGCGTCTCCACGCGTAGAAAAGCAGATCGACATTTGAGAGAGAACCAGCACTTCATGGCAGCTTTCTTTTTTTCTTCGCACGCTGCGTTGGGCAAAACATGTGTTATCCTTTGAAATGAAGGTGAAAAATGTCACACCGCTTCTTATGGAGCAGTATCCAATAACAGTGGTACAAAAGGACTGGCATGGGCAAGGAATTTCAGTAATAAAGAGAGAAGTTATTACATCATGTAGCTGCCAAGTGGGGTAAAAACAAGGCATAAAAACTGTAAATGTAAAGTTTCCATGTGCAATATTTTTTGCTTATTTTTCCCACAATTTTGCTGACAAAATTATATCTGTGGTGCAAAACGCATAGTGCCTTTTTAACAAGAATACATCTGCTTCTATAGAAAAAAAATAAGGTTGAGACGGGGCAACTTGGATTCAGGATTGAACAAACCTAATTTTGGCATTGTTATGAAGGTGGGAAACATATGGGCCAACTTGCAGGAGAAAAGCTTAATTAGCCAATGAACGTGCGCAGGTTAGTGCATCAGTGAGAGCTTTCTGCTAATCACCAAGCAGCACAGCCCCACGTCGAGGGAGAAATTTTTCTCATGGGTGTATTAACTGCAAGCACATGTTATAGCTGATTGCCGTTTACCATTTGTATGTTTCACAATCCAAGCTGCACGCACCTCCTGCTTACCCTGAGGACATATCCTTCATGCTGGATTAACTGTTAAGATGCTGAATTGCTGACCCGACGGTTGGGAATTCGATTCTGGCTGTAGTAGTCGCATTTCGGTGAAGATGAAGTGCTGGAGGCCTGTGTTCCGTGCGATGTGAGCGCATGTTGGAGAACACTAGATGGTCAAAACTTCTGGAGTCCTCCACTGGGGTATTGTTTATAATCATATGGTGGGTTTGAGACATTAAAGCTCAAGTGTTATTACCCGGAGGACACATTTCAGGGCTGACACAGGGCTTCATTGTGTATGCTCTGCACTAAGGTACTGAGTGCTGGCCTACCATATAAGACTCCTTTAATGACAGTGACTGCATATTACAGTACTTCAAAGTATTGTCAAGTGCACAGTCAAAGCAGGAAAGCATCCCCATTTATTCAGAATAACAGAGGAGGGGGCCTTGTAAAATTTCTTCTCAATGCGTGTCAATGCTCCTGGTGCGGCAGCTGATTGTGCCAAAAATGTCAAGTTGACAGTGGCACCAGCTTTTCCAGTGTTGGGCATTGTGCCCAATACATAGTGACAGTAGAAAGGATTGTGGTTTTCGTATGCAGCATGCATTTCTACTAATCAGCTCTTTACATACTTATACAAGTTTACTTGCATATAGAGAATGAAAGCTGATGTGTTGGCATGTGAATTAGAAACCAGGGATTACGTAGTGTGTGGCTCTTGTGTTGTAATATCCCTAGCTGCATAGAGCTGAATTTCTTTTAAAATGCGCATATTAATGGCATTTTTTTTTTTTCAAATACATAGAAACCTTTGTAGCTTGGAAGATTAGGTTACTCATACCGTTTGTCTGGTCTCCTGGCATTAGATACTTAAATGTCATAATAAATTCAACTAGAAAGTTGTCAGTTTTCCTCTTAACTGAGCATTTCATGGTGTCTGAAGTATGTGCATGAACTAAAGTGGTCACTCTAATGATGACAGTATATTTTTTGCACACTATGCTTTTATAGCGTTGGTATATAAAGTAGACTGTAGACTAGAACGTTTGTACCATAAATGCTTATGATGGAATAGCTTGAGGCTGCCTGGTTGCTTGGTCTCCAGTCACGCAGCACATATCAAGTGTCTTACTTCCCCATCTTAGTGTATGTATACTTACGTTTGTATACGTGGCGTATATATTCAAAGAAGCTGCTCAGTTGTGGCAATTTCTTGCATTCTTGAGTGTTTTGGTCGTGTAATGACAGTATGAGCACATGTCCTATGTATCACACGTACAATGTGTTGGACATGCATCTCCCTTTCAACACAAAGTATATTGTTTGTAGGTTGAGACATGTACTCACAAATTCAAACATGACATCAAATTTCTTTGGATGTGAAGCAGCTTATGGCAGAGTTCAATCCGGTGTGTGTGACTACCCCTAGTGTGCATGCGCAACAGCTGGCTCAAGCACTGCCGTAACGTGCTCACGTGCTAGCACGTTCCGGCCTTTGTAAGGTACTGGGTAAGAGGTTGTGGCCTCTCCCCTTTACACTCTCTCAGCAATCGTGTGTAGGCATTGGGGGAACGAGATTCTGCAGACGCGCGATGAACCAGTGAGTTGTATCCTAGTCAGAATGCGCTGGCACGAGCTGGCACGTTCAGGTTTGCATAAGTGGCGTCGGGGAACGAGATTCTGCAGACGCGCGATGAACCCACTTGCTCCCGCGTGGCGTGCCGATGAACCCGCGTGGCGTGCTCCAACAAGAGTTCGGGACGAGTAACAGCAACAGAAACTACAGTGAATCCTTGGTGTGCTCTACGTGAAAAGACATGTAAACGTCGAGCAAAGTGCCCGTGTTGAACGGAACTTTAAGTCGACCCATGGGCTGCTTCGCATGCTACTCATAGTTCCCTTTAGTGGGAGATAGTGCAGCTTTAGTGTATTGACTGGCATGCACACTTGCACGGGTTAACTAGGTCCTGTCACGATGAATCTGATCTCTAAAGATAATGTTGGCTCTGATCTAAGCATTCGTGGTAAAATTATGCTGATATGACCCAAACTGAAGACTCTGGAAGTGAAACTATGTGAGTTACGTAGCTCTAAATTGTCCTGTTTCAATCCATGAGTACTGCACATACAGAAAAGGATGTGTTGACATTACATACTATCCAGGTGCAGTGTACCAGACATACTTCTCTCTCTCCACACATTTCCTGTACTAAGGAAGTATTATGTAGAGAAAAGTAGTTATATTCATTTTGAGAGTTTGTATGTTAGCTTTATGAGATCTTTCAGTGACATTCTGAATTTCCCTTGCTATTTACATGGCAAACTGAGCTGGTGCGCATCCTAATTGTGTTTTTAAATTTTGCCATTATTTTTTTCATTTAGACGTTCTGTCAATAGTACTACAACTTGCATAGTCTTGCATATTGGCCATGTTCCTTAATTCTGACCTAAATATTTTGAAAACAAATTGTTGATACTGTAGCCTCCCTTTAAGATGAACTCCAAGGGACCACGATCATTTGTTTGTCTTACCAGGAGTCCTTTCTTATTAAAAGTGCCCCCAAAAACCAAATGCTAACATGTCAAGTACACCGAGATACGTTGCTTGAAAACACTGAATGAAGTATACTTACGAGGAGGAAAGGAACAAAAAAAAGCATTTATTTGGCTCAGCTTGATGAAAAGTATGCTCTCAAGTAGAGTATTTAGACTAATCTAAAGAGTACTCGATTTTGCAAGTTCATAATAAATACACTCAGGAATAAATTGCTTCCAGATTTTCAAATAAAACTGTAGCACAATCCTATCTTGACAATTGGAAAAGGATAAAAAGGGAGAGACAAGCTCAATTTTTCTTCAAAGAATGAAAAATTTATTCTCCTGGCTATTCACATTTTGAGTTGTTGTTTTGCTGACTGCTATCACTTTTCGATACGCCTCCATTGCATACCTTCACAAAGCCAATATACACCAAGTCATTTATGAAAGTATTCAAGTTTTTCTCTGAAGTTTGAATAGTTTTTTTAATTTTCATTCGCAGCAACTCTTTCTTAAACGACATGCAGCTGAAGGTTTACATTTACACTAGATTACGAGAAGGCGTTTGATTCAGTAGAAATATCAGCCGTCATGCAGACACTGCGGAATCAGGGCGTAGATGAAGTATATATAAACATTCTGGAAGAAATCTACAGGGGATCAACTGCTACCATAGTGCTTCATAAAGAAAGCAAGAGAATACCAATCAAGAAGGGTGTAAGGCAGGGGGACACTATCTCCCCAATGCTATTTACCGTGTGCTAACAGAAGGTTTTCAGAAGCCTAGAATGGGAGCAGTTAGGGGTAAGAGTTAATGGAGAATACCTTAGTAACCTGCGCTTCGCCGATGACATTGCATTGCTGAGTAACTCGGGGGACGAATCGCAACTCATGATTACGGAGTTGAACAGGGAAAGCAGAAAGGTGGGTCTTAAAATTAATTAATCTGCAGAAAACGAAAGTAATGTACAACAACCTCGGAAAGGAGCAGCACTTCGAGATAGGTAATAGTGCACTTGAAGTTGTAAAAGATTATGTCTACATAGGGCAGGTAATAACCGCGGAGCCGAACCACGAGATTGAAGTAACTAGAAGAATAAGAATGGGGTGGAGCACATTTGGCAAGCACTCTCAAATTATGACAGGTAGATTGCCACTATCCCTCAAGAGGAAGGTATATAACAGCTGTATCTTGCCAGTACTTAGCTATGGAGCAGAAACCTGGAGACTTACAAAGAGGGTTCAGCTTAAATTGAGGACGACGCAGCGAGCAATGGAAAGAAAAATGGTAGGTGTAACCTTAAAAGACAAGAAGAGAGCAGAGTGGATTAGGGGACAAACGGGGGTTAAGGATATTATAGTTGAAATAAAGAAGAGGAAATGGACGTGGGCCGGGCATGTAGCGCGTAGACAAGATAACCGCTGGTCATTAAGGGTAACTAACTGGATTCCCAGAGAAGGGAAGCGGGTTAGGGGGAGACAGAAGGTTAGGTGGGCAGATGAGATTAAGAAGTTTGCGGGTATAAATTGGCAGCAGCAAGCACAGGACCGGGTTAACTGGCGGAACATGGGAGAGGCCTTTGTCCTGCAGTGGACGTAGTCAGGCTGATGATGACGATGATGATGACTCACGATCACAAGCCTTGAGCACACAAAAAAAGACACGATGCAGCTATAATTAGTGTGCTAAATGACCTTCCTTTGTCTTGCACTTTCTTAATGAAAATACTGCATCAAAATTTGCTGCATTTCGCTGGGCACAAATATGACATGCACAGGCCCTATGCAAAACAACGGGAACTGACCACACCATGTGCTCGGGCGCCATTGTGTGGCGGTGATGACAATGCATCCGACTTTTCTGATGGGAGTGCTTGCGCCGCATATATAGTTTTCGTATCATGAGATTATAAAGCACAGACAATCTTTGTTCTCGTTCTCACTTTCATTTGGCTTTTTATTGCCCCATTTCGCTTCCATTTTTCCTTCTAGCCAAGCTGTTGTGTTCTTCTGTTCTCCACTGTACTTGAGTTTGAGAACTGAAGAACACAAGGAGAATACAAAATGATGAACGCTTTTTGTTGCTTTCTTTGCTGATAAAACCGGCCCTTTCTCCACCTACAGGCTAGGAGTGAGGGAGATACCAGCTTTATGTGTTGACCTTTCTTTTTCACTTATCGCACTTCCTTCCTCCACGCTTCAATTTCCTTTCAATTCGCTTTGAGTCTTTTTGTCAGGAAGTTTTTTTTCTTCTCATTTTGCTTTTGCTTGTTTGCCTGAATGCCCCCATCAAGACATAATATCTGTTGCGCAGAATATTCGTCATTGTCAGTCGTTGCGATAGTTAATAGAAGAGGCCTGTTACGCGGTTCATCTTAAGCAGATTTTTTTTGCATTCAGTCTATAGGAAACCAAGCAAACACTCCCTTGTTCGTCTTAAGTAAGAATTCGTCTTAACAGAGTTCATCTTAACAGGAGTTTACTGTGTTAAGGGTCATACCTTGTCAGCTGCTGCCATACAGCAGTGCCTGTGGGTGTATCTACTGTAAAGTTGTTTTGTGGCTAGCTCATTGACATCATTGTTTGCATGATATTTCATCCAGTAGTTCTTGCATAATTTTTGCCACATGTTGATAATTGCTTCCCTCTTTGTTCTTGTACATTTTTCAGAATCTACGCACATGGTAAAGGAACATGTACCAATGGTGCAAATTGACTGTGAGGTCATGAGTACAAAGATAATTCATGTCAAGGAATCGGTCATTCCACCCCACTTGAGGCAACAGTATCCCCGCAATTCTGCTCAGCCAAACACTACTGGAACTAACGTGAATGTCGCTGCAGCGAATCTGACGAAGCGTGAACAGAGTTCGTACTCACAAAACATGTCCAACCACTCGAGGCAGCTGCGTCTTCCACTACGAAACCATACCCAGCGGAATGGCTAGTAGTACCATCAGACCACTGTGAATTGGCATTTGGCACCTAAACTTATTCAAATAGCTCATCGAATGCAACTGCACCAGGCTGAGACACTGTTCTCGCTTGGTGCTTGCCCCGTGTTCTTTCCCTTCAGCCTGGGAAGCGAAGAAACATAGCGAAGAAAATTCAGTGTGCACACATATGTGCGTGATTGAAAAGGTGGGCTGCTGGGCAGTGTGGTAGTGAACTGGGGCACTGTGATTTGAGACTCTAATGGCATTGAGGTTTCATGTCTTGTGTAGCTTGCCTACGGGGTTTCTGCTTTGTCTCTCTCTTTTTTTTTTGCTTTTTTTTATAAGGTGGAAAGCACTGATGGCTATGGTTTGTGTTGTGTCACTTCTATTACTTTATTTATTATTTGGCTCACCCTCTCAATCTGCAGAATTTTGAAATCTTCGACATGTGTAACCATCATAAAAATATAAAACAGTGCTTTTATACACAGGATGAAGGAAAAAAGAGACGCACGTGTGATTGTCTGTTTTTTTTTCTTCATCCCCAGTGTAAAAGCACTGTTTTATCTTTTTATGATGGAACCTCACCGACTTGCCCAATTTACCTGTCTTCTTCATGTGTAACCAATTGCAGGTATCGGATTTGGCTGGCAGACATGTTACAGTGCTCACATACTGGTTTGTTTTTGTTCTTGCCATTTATGTATTCTTGCCATTTATGTATTTCAATAAATTATTTTGAACTCTGTTACTTTTTACAAAGCATGCCTGGTGCAATGGCTCGACATATAACAGAATGGTGCTACATGAGCCGACCAACAGCTTGCATTGCTGGATAAAATTTGTAAGCTGCGCATTCTATCGTGGAATGTCATTTTATTTGAAAGAAAGAATGTTTGCATTTGAGGACTACACGCCAATATTTTCGTGCAATTTGTCTACATGGCAAAGACTGCCTAATCTGCTACAATCGCCATTTTGAAAAGCCGGTTGCTCAAGTGGCCAACTTGCATTTCTGTACCCATTTCACGGTTGGTTCTGTTTGTATTAATGCTTGATTCAGGCCTTGCTATCGCTGATCATTTGGACGAGGCCTTGTATAGCATAAAAAGCCTTACTTGCTTAGCTAGATACACGTACACAGCATCATTGCGGTTTGACGCAGTATAAAACCTGATCCTCACTTTATCCGTGTGTGCAATAATGGTCAGTTTCCGTATTTAATGTTGTGCTATTATTATCTTTAAAAAGTAGATGAGGAAATCTGCTGCTGAAAGATAAGTAATTCGTCTGCTTGAGCCTTTGGACGGGCAAGCAGCTATGTACAGAGAAGTGGACTGTTGTTCTGTTACCGGTGCTGAAATGTGACATGACAAAAGGCATTTTCTAGCTTGAATGGCATGAAAATTAGTTGCACTACCAACGTGCAGCATTTTGTGCATGTTGCGAGCTGCGAGTGACGTGATTTATAGTCTGTGTTGTGTGTAACCGATGCATACCTTGAACACATTCCAGGATACATGTCTGCCTTGTTGAAGGGTTTGCTATTTCTTAGCAATATATGGTATGGATAATTTCAAAACCTTGCCATCCAGTGCTCTAAGTTTGTGCTGCTTGGCAACTTGGGTACTTTGTGTGCATACAATAATCAGCCAATTGTTATGCCACGTTATTGTGCCGTTGTCAATAACTGGAACTCCTCCTTTGTCCGTTATCACTCTTTTTCATGCCATATTTACAACTGGTGGTAACACTGATGCCTCCCAGAAAGGCAGAAATCTCGTAAAGCAAATTATGTACATATGTAGATACTTATGCTCACACTGTCATTCGACGTGGTTATTTTTTTGCCGGTTTGGTGTAATATGTTACTGTAAACTCGTTCTGTCCTCACTCGATTTATAGACGTGCAGCAGAATTTGCAAAATGTTGCCGAAAGATCTTCACCATAGAGACCAAAAGTATGTTTACATTTGGCATTTCGACACTGTGCATTGGTCCATATGCAATGTTTTTTTAATAGAATATATAGATAGATATACATACGCACACAGTTATATATGTATACATCAAGGTGTTTGTATACAAGACACTCTTTTCTGTTATGTGGAAAATATCTTCGAGGTTTCCGTGAAACCAAGAGGGGTAGCAAAAAAAAAAAAAAAAAAGAAACTTGGCCATCGCGTTTCCTAAATCCTGGCTTCTGTGAAGCTTTAAGTACAACAGTAATTTAATAATAGTAGATATAGGAAAATTTTTATTAGTAGTGAAGGTGAAATTGTGTGCTGGATTTATCGCTTGTGTGCCCATGTATGCGTGTGTGTGTGTGTGTGTGTGTTCATTTCGTAGGTTTTGTTACAGCTTAGACAGTACATCAGGGAAATATTCATTGGCATTTATGTAATGCATATGCAAACAGTTTGACTGTTTTAAGGCCTTTTTGCCTTACATTAATCCTACTGCACATCAATTATTCAAACGTAACAGTGTGCTTATGTCACTCATAATGGTGACAAATTAGCTGAATGCCAACTCAGCTTTGCAGTAAATATAAGATTAATAAAAGTTACATTGTTAGATTCTTCTGCAATTCTTGTGTATTATATAGGAGATAGCTTTGCCCTAGCTCAGGCACACTTATTCATTCATTGTAAACTAATTTCATAAAATTTGCCCTGAGTTGTGCTGCAATTGCTTAAAAGCTGTGCATCACGGGTGAAAGTGACAACAGTGTGCGCACTGAGTATTTATTTGTTTGACCACTGATGTGATTGCAGCCATGGGCGTCGGCCGGGGGTTGTAAAAGGGGCACTTGCCCCCCACAGGCCTCACCAGCACTTGCCCTCCACCCAAGCACACCAGTGCTCTCCCCTCCCCTGCAAGAGTCATTTGCACCCCCCCCCCCCCCCCTAAAGAAAACCCTGCCGACGACCATGATTGCAGCTGACAGTAAGGGCTGTTATTGGGGCATCCACACGCGCTCCAAGATGGACACCTGTGCATTGAGATTGCGCTAAACTTTGAACATGGACTTGGCATTACAGTTTTTTTTTTGCTGTTGATATTTTGTCATACTCTGCCATGTATGTACTTGAGTTGCACTGTGGTATTTATTCTTTGGCACTTTATTTTCATGTGTGTGTGTGTGTGTGTGTGTGTGTGTGTGTGTGTGTGTGTATGCATGTGCAATGACTTTTCCTAGTCCTGTGTTGTATGAAACCTTTTCTACACACAAAATAAAGTTGCGTATCTTAGTACGGGTAGCTTGTCACTCATTTTTGTACACCTTCAAAAGAAATGATTGTTCTTGTTTAAAAAGCTGCATAGCAATGGAATAAGAATAAAATAGTACTGCGTTTAATGGAGAAACACTTTTGTCATTTGTGGTCCAAAAAGGCAGCTTATGGGAGAAAGAAGCTTGAAGATATAACAAATTCATGAACACGGGGTGTTGCTGAAGTCAGCATTTTGACAAGCGGTCTTGTTTTCTTCAAGGCTGTAACCTTGAAGGAGTTGCAGCCTTGAGTAAGACAAGTCCGATTGTCGAAACGTTTGCTCCAGCGACATTTTGTGTTAACATTACAGTTGCAGTTTTGATGTCATGTGAACTTTTCCCATGCATCAAAATTGAGCAGATTCTATGCCTTGGAATCATTTTCATGCGAAGCATTTGGTAAGTATTTGTCTATGCCGCATCTTTTGGCATTGAGCCAAGCATTGCAAGGGGGATAGGGGTGTTTTTCAAAGTACAGTAGTGTGCACATCATGGGCTCATAAGGAATGCTGACTGCTCTGGCATTTAAAAGATAACATATGGTGTGACGTAATATCAGCGTTCACGATTGAGAAAATTTGTTTGTTTAGCGAAACAGAGTGCACCATGAAGTGTAGTAATGTGAATGTCGTATGTAACTTTCGTTGGCATATTCTTTTATGGTTGAGCAAGGCTTTGATATGGCTTGCTTAATCATAAGAATATATTATTGTAATGTTTGTCAGACTGCTATAGAAGCAGAGCGAGCACTAGAACTACAATTGTTGTTTACCTGACATGATGCTGATGTCACAGGAGTACATATGTAATTTTATTGCTATGTTTTTAAAATTAGATAGCCAGTACTACAACCACAATTGTCATTGCATCAACACTATGCATGCACGAGGTCATTTTTCGAAGCAGTTTTAAAGGGCCCGTAAACAACCAACGGACGCTTGTGCGCTGCTCTCCATGTGTTTCCTCTATTGAGAACAGTTGGCATGACGTCAACTGACACTGCTTACAATACAAACGATGCTGCGTACCAAAGACGCTGTCATTGGGTGAAAGTCTGTTTTCTGCTAGCACATGCACACGCCAGTTACGTTTCCACCTTGGACGCTGAGACAGGGCACTAGGAGAGGTGGTGAAACGAGCCGACGAGCGCAGTCTAGCGAAGGAAAGAGCGAAATGAGGAAACGCGTAGAATTCCAACAGCATTCACTGCAGACTCTTTGTATACTGCAATGCCACATCTACATTTCTGCCGCTGGGTAGTTTACGGAGCCTTGAAGACCTGGCTTGGCTCTCTGTTAGAATACCCGACTTCCACGGAGAATGCGTGGGTACACTTCCTGCTGGTGTCCTCGTTTTTATTTGTATTTGTCGGGTCAATGCTGCTGATGTCGGCCTTTTCTTAAAGGGACACTAAATATAAGTAGTGACTTGGTTTAGATTGATAAACTGCACTCTGAGAACTCTAATGCCATAAGTTTCACTGTCACAAGTTCATTATTAGCGGAGAAAATTTGGGTTGAAGTTTCATTATTGAATTTTGCACCGAAATCTCTGAGCGTGACGTAAGAAATTGCAAAATGTATTTTTCTTATCTTCTTGACATTGGCTCGATGTAATTTTCTGAAACATTGTATGCTAGGTCTAGAGCATCCACAGAAATTAATGTACTCCATTTTTATTGAGTAGAAGCTATGCGAGACCCAGTAGACGCCTTCAAAATTTACTATGTTGTGGGGCTTGTTGCGGGAATCTCGCAGTGGCGTCTCCACCCGAATTTTTTTTTTTTTTTCGCGCGTTTTCTTGCTCGCCAAGCGTTATGTTGTGATAAGAGTGGTATTTTCAGGATTGAGAAATTTTGCTTTACTAAAATTCAAAAAATCATTTTGCTCTTTAGTGGCACTCTTGGCACTCTTGCATTTAAATTAGCAATGTCTGTTGTCACCGTTTCTGGTGTAGATATAAACTGCATACCCGCATACTGCGGCCCATGGTATACAGGTATGTAGCTCACATGTCTGAAGGAAAGGGCCTGTGAACATGCGCAACAGGATATTCACGTAATTCACGTCATGACCAAATAGCCCTATTTGTGAAAACCTCTTACCCTCCCATATAAATTTTAGTCTACAGCAAGCGAAGGAGGCAATCAGGAGAGCACTCAGACATAGGTGGCTAGATAAATACATAAATAGAAACGCCCAAAGTGCCTTAGGTTTGCTAAGAAATGTTTCACATTCAAAAGAACCAATATGGGGGTTACGTGGACACATTGCTAATTTCCAAGGTTTTATTTTTTGAAGCAGTACATGTATATAGAAAGCAGACAGCAGCACATGTAGGCATATTTGTACAGTTTTGAAACAAGACCGGCACCCCTTGTGGGTGTGCGTTCCCCATCATTTCTCCTGAACTGATTATATTGAGGTTAAGAAGCAGAGTTCTGAAATCTGCGATAGTATGGGACAGGTTGTTGACCTGAAGAGTATGACTTCTGTTTTTAGTCAGTACATTTCATTTCGTTCAAGTTCATAGAAGTAAGTTCAATGTCTCCTGAACTGGTTCGGCTTATTAAACTTTTGATCTTCATGTTGCACAATGCTATAGATTTAAGTGTGCCAAGATAAAACACTACAGCTAGCGCTCCCCGAGCGACTGCCCGTATGGCAAATTTACCGAAACTTCCGTTTTGTAATAGTCCATTTAATTGCCTTCTTGTTTTAAAACGTGTTGTGCCCAGTACATGGCACATCTGGAAGTTTTGTTAAAAGGGGAGAGAAGGCAAATTAGCAGGTTATGTTAGGTTCGGCTCTTGGGCTGCGAAGGGGATCGGAATCCTGTGTACTGTGAACGATGTCGCCGAAGGGCTTCTAGCCTGCGGGAAGCCGTTCCAGACCGGGCGTTGTCATTCCAAGCCTGAAAGTAAAGCGCCCTGCAGTCTGGCGTCGAATGGGTTTCGGTCGCGGCAACTTTCCTCGAAGGAACAGCGGCGTCGCAGCGGTCTTTTTGATGCGTCGGCACGAGCCTGAAACTCATCACCACAACGACCTCTCACGCCAGCGAGGGGACACCGTGGTGCCACAGTAGAAATGTGGTGACTCCGCCCCAGTCAAGGGCGCTGACGGGGGCGAGTGCGGGCGGTCCTGTCGAAAGTAGTGTATCTCTTGGGATTGGACAGTGTAATTTGGTGCCCTTTCCCTCATCCACGTATCTGAGGAAACGGGACTGTTCATAATCAGCCCTCGCGGGCTGCTGAGAGCTTTTTTTCGACCCGAGTTTGTAAAGATGAAACTCTCCTCTTTGTAATCTACATAAATGAATCTTTGTTAATGGCTCCCTGAAAAGGCGCCTTCCTTCCTGCAAGATGAGCTAAACCGCGGGTCTGGTTGCGGAGGCCAGCTACCTACGATCGTAGGTAGCTGGCTTTCGTAACCGGACTTCGCGGCTTTGGTCTCGTCGACGAGACCCGCCGGACCCGAGCCGCAACTACGGCACTAGTGGTGGTATGGCGTCAAAACCACGTTCCTAACAGCTGAAAACGGTAATCCATCTTTTGCATAAAAATCTATAAAATTTAGTGAAAATAGTATCAAACATGCTCATAAATGCGACCATCTTTGAGCAACGTGTTGTATGACAAGCTAGCATTGACCAATTGCTTTGTTCAGAACCAGTACGAGATATTTTGTATTCAGGTTCAGTTTGAGCAGGCAGTTTCCGAGAAGGCAGCCCCGCCGCGGTGTTCTAGTAGCCTGGGTATTCGGCTGCTGACCCGTAGGTCGCGGGATCTAATCTCGGCTGCGGTGGCTGCATTTTCGCCTCCATCGAGAATGCTGTAGGCCAAGATGCTCAGATTTGGGTGCACGTTAAAGAACCCAAGGTGGTCGAAGTTTCTGGAGTCCTCCACTACGGCGTCTTTCATAATCATATGGTGGTTTTGGGACGTTAAACCCCACATATCAATCAATCATGTTCCGAGAATTCAGGTTACGGTTCAGTCGTCTCCACAATTCCAGTCCTGGAACAACCTCCACTTAGTATACTTAGACACCATGGGTAGAAAAGTGAGATTCAGGTATAATGCTGAAATGGAGGTCAGAGTACATTAGGTTATGGCCTTGATCGTTGTCTGCTGAGGTGTGGACATTGTTGCATAAGAATGATTGAGAAAATGGCTTGAGAAAAGAATTCTTCTTCTTGAGAAAAGAAGCGAAGCTCTTCGCGTACTGCTTAATTGCACAATGTCTAAGCTCGCACACCTTCATTCATAAAGGCAGGGGGCTGCTGTTTTCATGTATACATTCACAGACAATGGCTAACTAAAACGCGTTCTTTTGTTTACGCCAGTTCGAGTAGTGTCAGCAGGATTTCCGTTCGCACTCTCAAAGCGGGGCCCAAACAATCTGGCAAAAGCATAATTACCTTTGCGAAGTTCACCATCGAGTTATCGCTTGCGGGAGCTCTTCTACTTCGTAGAATGTTCGAATTTCATTCATTGTAGTGTTTCATGGCACAAGGGGCAAAGTTTCAGATTGTTACGAAGAATTCGCGAAGAAGTGTAACTTTTAAACATTCAGTGGTCTGACAATATATTCGAATATTCCGCCCGAATAACATTCAGTTTATTCCTTTATTCGTGCACAAAAAGTGCTTCAAACGCGTGTCACCGGCATGTTTACCAAATGTCATAGAAAAAAAAAAAAGTGGCGATATGAGCCTAAACGTTCCAGGTTGTTGAATCATTTACAGGTCGTGCTCTCCCACACCTCTCCAAACTTTGAGTACGCCAACACGGCTTGGCTATAACTAGGATAGACTTTAAAATGGCTAATCAGTGCATCTTTACGATGCACTTGTTTGGAAGGTCTGTTCATTGGTTAAATCATACCATACGAAACGCCGTCCCTGGATGCTACAGCTCTTTTCAAACTGTACCGTCGGTGCGTAAAGCTTTTACATAGGATTGACAACCTGCAGACACTGTGGCAATTTTGAAAGAAGCTGCAGTGGTCCTGCTCGAAATTCATTTGCGCGCTCACATGATTGGCCTGCTGCTAAAGCTAATTATAACTCTGATGTTTTTATATATGAAATAATAGTGTGACTGATAACTCTGTTAGTGCAAGCTGTATCGCTTGAGCGTATATTTAACTCACCTGGTGACTTGAGTTGGCATATGTGTTGCCTTTAAAGCGCAGCTGATTACGTGTATAGGTAGTACAGATGGAGTCGAGAAATCATTCCTAACGTATGCCTCTGCGACAGGGATGTATCATGATTTTCCTTATTCTTAGGGGGTAGGGGTAGGGGGGTTGAACCCCCCTCCCTCTGGCTGCGCCAATGCTTCACAGAAAGTGGGTTTCTCTCTGGTACATTACTTAAGCCTAAAGTGAGAAGTCAATCACCTTTGGACAAGTTTCACAACTTCATGCAAGTAAAATATATCATTTTTAATAAAGCACTAAACTCCTTGAGGACAACCGCACTACATCTAAACACAAACAAAAAGGTGTGAACACACACGCTTGTGCAACAGTTGTCCACTTCTGTTCACGAATGCTTTTTTGTGTGTCACCAGCACAACTTTCTGGCTCATAGCATCGTCTTTATATATATATATATATATATATATATATATATATATATATATATATATATATATATATATATATATATATATATATATATATAGCAAATGATTTTCATTCCTGTACTGCTATTGATTGTAATCTATTGCTTATTGATGTTTTGGACAACACACATTGAGGCATGGAGCTCGCTTGCCATATTCGGCCCTTATGAAAAAGCATTAAAAATACATTATCATCAAAAATTTGCCTGTGTGTTTGCTTTCTATTACAGTAATGTAAAGGTGCTAAAACAGGTAGTAATGATAGTTTCCTACCGTTCAGACAGCTGGCCATACAGTAGCATGCAAGGCTAGACAAAAAGGTGAAAATCCTTGCGCTAATGCGCCTATTAGCACGTTATGGCTTGATACTGAGATATTAAAAAACTGCTGAATACAGGCTGCACACCGAGGAAATGCTCAGGAGTTTATGTGAAAAACATGCGTGTCACAAGCGTATGTGAATATATGTCCCAAGTGCGTGCATTTTCACTTGTCAACAAATTTATGTGTTCACAGCCTACTTAGTGTGAGACTAAGATGCTTTGCTAATGTCATGGTAATTGCCTCACGTCTGCTGAGGCATATTGTCCTTCAGCAAGGTAGGAAAACTTGGCTACTCCAGCTTAAATGGCAGACACAGTTATCTTCAACATTCTTTCATGGAATACCTTTGGCCTATCATTTTGTTAATTTATTCACACTGAGTCTAGCAGGTGAATGCCTGGTGCTGAATGCTTCAATACACAACCTGTAAATATTGGGGCATTGTTCAAGTACAGTGTATCCTCAGATTCATTGTACGACTTGCCAAGGACACAAAACCTGCATTGTAACTCCATGCTGCATTTGTGTTAGGTGTCTACAACATATTGACAAAATACTCTACATAAAACTATTGAAGTACCTTTTTTTATTTACGGTAACATTGTCACAGGGCTATGAAGAACACCAAGAAGGGAGTCTGATTATTTCACTCATAGCATTCACAGTGTGGATTTGCATGCATTGTTGGTCATGCTTTTCACATTTGGTTAAGGCTTCAATAGAGAAAGAGCAATTTTCTCATAAATAGATCGATACTGGTTAAATAGTGATGACATAATGCAGTACATACTTTTTCCATATTTTTGGTACAGCATAAGGGATGTGAAGAAATTAAATCGTAGAGCAGCTTCACTGGGCTTGTACTTCTTTTGCAGGCTCTCACCAAAATACATGTGTGTAAAATTATTCCATCTCTTAACCCTCTTTTGTTTCCCACAGCCAATCCAGTTGTTCAAGTACATTTTTTTTTGCATGTATTTGATAACAATGCATATGAAAGTGGTAATAAACCGGACACCCAAAAAATTCAGTTTTAGTTTTAAAAGAAAACAAGTATCCACATATGTGGTGTTTTTTTTAAAAAAAAACCCAAATGCTAAACCAAAAATAAGCTGAATGTCAAGTGAGTGTAAAGAGCACCTACAAAGCATCTTTAACTTTTATAACAGTAAAATCAAAACAAGGCAATTCCTGATTGTAACATGAACTCAAAAAGGCATGACGATAGTTATAGCGCGAGGACAGAACGACGACAAAGGGACGAGAAGGAAACGTCGTTCTGTTCTGGCGCTATAACTATCATCGTGTCCTACCAACTAGCCCAAACTGCCGCACTTCAAAAAGGCTGTTTCAAATAAAAAATGAGCCAAGTGCTGTAACGGTTTTAATCAAACTGAGCCACATTCTTTAAAACAGAACTGTGTCAGCAATTGTGACCAAAACAACCAACATGGTTTTATCCAAAGTATTTCATTCGTGTCCTAGTTGCTTTGCTATCGTGTTTACATTACACAATTAAATTTGGTAGGGTGTGTTGGCACTTATTGAAGGACATGATGTTCTGTGACAAAACTCGAATATAAAGAGTAAAAGGCTGATTTTCCAACATCTTTTTGCCTCTCAGTGTTTATTTTCAAGTTAAAGGCTACAGTATCATATCCTTTCACTCTAACACAGTATATTTGAAATGAAATGCATATGAAATGAAGGTACTGGGCACTGATGTATTCCATAAAGAAGAAGTGGTCCGAAACGGCATAGCATAAAACGGGCTGGAGCACTTTTCAGTGTCTTCAATAGACGCCAAGAACACGAAAGCACTGCTGACAGTCCAGAATAGTGTTCCTTTTACCAGGAAGGAACACTCACTTTTCAATTCTAGTAATCGCAATTATACTCATTGGACGAAGCATGGCACCGAAAGAAGCACAAGGATCATGGTAATTTTATCGCAAAATATTGCTGAAGCATGCATTTGAATTGTCTTAGACTTATTTTATGACCTAATTTAAGCCCAAATGAAATGTTTCAATCTGTATGAGCCAAATACAAACTTGACTCCTGAATACCGACGATATTGGGCTATGTAGATTTTAGCCACAATATAGGTTTGAGGTATGTAGGGGAGGTACATACTGGCAAAAAAAAAAAAAATGTTTTCAGCAGGCCCGATTATGCTATCAGTAGCAAAATAGTGCATTTTTCTGTTTCAGTTGAAGTGTGTTTGGTTCTATTAGAAAAAAAAATGCCACATATATCAACGCAGAGAACATTAGTTGCATTATGTCCATCATCCTTCTTCATTGTACATAGGAATTTCGCCTGCCGACAACTCTGTTCCAATGTATGAATCATTATTGTCATCACTTCATACCATAATCAATGCCTTCATTATCATTTCGACATGTTTGTTATTAATATAATTATCATCATGACAAACATTATAAAATTATGCCATGTGTATCTTTGTCACTTAATTAATCTACGTCCCAAATAAACCATATAAATTATAAATGAATTGTAAACATAACTTCTAAATGTCGTATTTATCTGTATTACGGATAATGTTATGTTCAGAGCTGCTTGCCAACGAAGCGGGTCCTAGTACCATTTATCATTTTGTTGACTTCTTACAAGACACTCGGTATGCCTGTTGTCCACAAACATGAATGCTGCAGCAACAACCCAACTTAGAAAGCTTTGGTCATTTACAGTGTAACAAAACTCGGATAAAAACAAGATAATACCTTCTTTTTTTTAAATAAAGCAAAATAATCTACAAAAGGTATAGCGAATTCAAAATGAACTTATAAAAAAAATGTAGGCATACACCTACACAGGCGACTTGAAAAGAACGCCTTTGTGTGCACGTACTGCTGTTCATTTGCGGAAGTGAAACACACGAATATTTTTATGAAATGCTCGCGTAATACCGACATTATTCATTGACCTTTAAGGCCATCTTACCTACCTGAACCCATTGCTGTGGTATGTTTTGTCCTCATATGTGGATGCCAAGATACAAAGGGTTAACATGAGTTCGAGATCACAAAAGGATATAGTACTAGAAAGAAAAAAAATTGTGCAGTAGAAGGCTGACACATCTTTTGATAATACATTGTTTGCAGTAGCAAGCACAAGAAATTCTGTGACTTTTTTGTATTAATGACTGGAATTGCTCATTTAGATGATCCTTGAAGTGGCTCTACAACACTTTATCAGCTTGGTCAGAAAACCTTGCTGATCGGTGGTCGAGGCTCCTGAGAAGATGGAAGCCTGTAGGCAACTTGGAATTCACAATGAATTCTAAAAGTCAGCTGGAAATAATTTTTTTGTCTACAAATGATGCCATATTACCAAATGACCATGCCATATAACCAGATTTCGCATTGGCTGATTTTAGCGTCGTGAGCTGCATAGTTACGGTGCATGCCACATACCCCCGCACGCTCACAATCACACTAAATGTTTGTGTTCAAAAGAAAAAGGCAAAAAAGTTCTTTAGGTCAATGACGTGCACATGACGTAACTTTTTCCTTTGGTGCCATTTCTACCTACTTAGCTTATGGTGCGCTCATTGAGATGAGCAAAGAATGAAAGCAGTTAAAGTGTGCAAGAGAACTGTTGACTCTGCTCATACTTGCTGTACCCTAAGAATTTTTATGGTTGTCAGTTCATGAGACAATCAACACCTCATTTGATGGTTACTTGGAAAAGTGTTGCTCTGTTCATACTTGGTGTGCTTCAAAAATTTTGTGGTTGTAAATTCGTGAGACAATCAACTCCTTTAAACGAAGCCATTTGATGGTTACTTGGAAAAGTGTTGTAGGGCCCCTGTAATGTTACAATTAATAAAATTGAATAATAGCCTTCACCTAAAGATGCTGACCTCCCCCCCTTTTTTTTGCGCAAGGAAAAGCTGCCCTTTAATAGTGAGTAAACCTGCTGGAGTTGATTCCAGAAGCACATGAATATTTTTGAGTGGAATTGTTTGTCCTGAGAAGCCTCTAGAAATTATAGGGGGCCTTCTCCAGCAACGCAGATTAGTGATAGTAATGTAGCTTGTTTATTACACTCACAATATTTTGCCTTCATTGCTTTGAGTGCATTGTTGAAATTAGAAATTGTCATTTCTACTGAGCTTGCTTTGATAAACACTGCTTTTCTTCTTTGAAAGTGTGAGTACGTGCAATGACCAGATTTTTGGATGGGTGATATCACTGCAACAGTGATCACATCACTGCAAATGTGATGTCACATTGCGCAATGCCTCTGAAAAACTAAATATGATCATAAGGAAGAACCCTGATGACTGAAGCTATTCTTTTATTTTTTAAGCACAGTTTCTTAAATATGAGGCAGTGTTCTTTACTTTCTTCCTTTACTCGATGGCAGCCATCTTGTTTTATTTTGTCTGGAATGTAATAATATGCACCTTGAGGGAACATAAATGAATTTTATTGCTTCTATGATTTGTGTCAAACAAATTTAAGAGAGTTCTTGAAGTGCCTAATACTTTTAACTGCGAAGCTGTTTGTAGCCGAGGTAAATCTCTGGGGATTGTCGTCTGCACTTTCTAGCCCAGCTGTGAGAAAAGCTTGATGAGAGGGCGAGTGTGGGTCAAGATAAGTGGGTGAGAGTGAAGCGTACTATAGCCAGATAAGCCTAGTAGATAAAGAGTAACAGTGTGGAGAGAGTGAAGCTGGCTAGAGAGGAGGAGAGCAAATACAAAGCTATGGTCATAGCGGAGCAGTTTAGCGTGGATAGGAAGGAAGGAGTGCGGTTGGTTGTCCTGGTGAAAGCAGTCGATCAAAGGTGTGTTTGAGTGCAAGTTCTGCTGGTGAGAGAAAGAAAGGTGGCCCATGTGTTGGTGAAAGTGGAGGAAAAGTGAGCTTACGCCACCAGCTCTGTTGTTAAATCAGGCTTCATGGCATTGAGTCAGCTCAGGCTGCACATTACTTTTGACCGTTGTTGTGTTAGCCTGTGCAGAACTCGGAAGAACTGGATCTAATGTAAATGTTAGTGTGTTTAAATGAAGAAAACAAATTGTATGGTGATAGTATTCATTTTTCTTTTTCCAAATTATACAGCGATGCTTCGGTGGTAATTCAAGCTATAATAGAGCAGAACAAAGTCAGGAAAGAACATCACAAGGACTGCCCAAGAAGTTTCCAGTCGCAGGTGTCAGGCATGTCGTCCTGGTGGCATCTGGCAAAGGTGGTGTTGGGAAATCCACCACTGCTGGTGAGGCTATTAACTAATTAGATTCCTTGTATAAGCATTTATCTGATCAGATGATTTCAAAACTGTGTATTATCATTTGCAGTCAACTTGGCTTTGGCACTTTCCTTGCATGAAACGGTGAGCTGAAAGTTGCTACTTTAAACTGCTTGCATGTCTGCAATTATAAATGCAACTACAGCGAAAACCTTGTGAGTGCATGATGTACAAAAGTTTTTGACAGTTCATGAAGTAGATCGTATTACCTGAAGTCAAAGCAACGTACACACTGCTTTGTCACTGTCATAATTTTATGGGAGCAGTATCGTTCATGTCTAATATCAATGAATCAATCAATTAGATCTTTATTTTCAACAGTTTGTTACAAAGTTGTGGGTCCTTCAGGTGAAAAGCTGTTGCAAACAGCTTAAGGGTGCCTGAAGGCCCTTTATGGCAGCACTATACAGAGTACAACAAAATAAAGTAAGTGTACATCTGTTGTATTAATAACAAAATATTAATAAAAACATATAAGAAATAAGTTTGTGTACAGTAGTGGTCATTTGACAGAGTTATTGAAAAGCAAAAAGCAGTAAAATCATGCAACTTCATTTGAAAACTAAAACTATAATTAAATGCCATAAATATAAATACCATAGAAATGAATAGCATAAATTAAAGAGAGTGATACTCTTAGCAATTTTTTAGTAAGTTTACATAACTGTCCTCACACACAAGCATCGTGCAACATTGTAACCAACAAAAATGTCTCATCTTTTTCTGAGTTCGGGCATGAACATCAATATTTTCGTTTTCATACTTATTGAGAAGTGAGGGGACATTGTAGATAATTGATTGCATTAGGTAACTAGTACGTCTTTCGGGACAAGCCATTTGTTCGGACCTGGTTGTTCTGGTTGACCGCTGAACTGCCGTTGTAGTCCTGACAGTGATTTTGGAAGTGAAGAGAACCTTTTAGAGGCAAAGAAGTATCATGGAGCAAACGAAACTGATGCACCTCAGTAACTCTGATTATGTTAAATTTAGCAAAAAGAAGTAATGTGTGTAGATGGGGCTGTCATTTAAGTTTAACACAGTTAAGAACAAATGTGTTCTTATGTCATACTTAGAGAAATGTATGAAAAACAAACAATAGATCAGCTTGTGAATTATGCTGCACTTCACATGACTGTGAATCATTGCTTTTCATAGTAAAAGGAACTCTATATGTGTCCATTTCACTACTGGTAATGAACTTTTTTGAATAAGGTATCATTTATTTCAACTAGTGACCATCTTCAATGAGGGTGAAATTTCTGCTGCACAATGAAGATACAGTGTTGCATCAGCTGTAAATCATACTTTTGTGGGTTTGCATTGCATGCTCATGTTTCTAGCCTTTTGCGCACTTTCTGCATCAGTTTGTCTATGATGTGGGGTCGCAGAGCACTGTGGATGTCATTTCCTTAAAGGGAGATGCAATTTCAAAAAAAAGATGTGTTAATCTGTAACGTAGGGCAATGAAACTTTTGTTGTATATGTAAGCTTTTATGTTAACTTTAAATGAGTAATTATAATTATAATTAGCTGCCCAGTTTTGTTTTATGCCATGACAATGTGTAAAGTATGCCAGTTCATTTTGGACAAACTTTTTATGCCACTAAACATTTAACTATAATAGTTTGAGCCAATAATGGCTCATATTACTCCACATTAACTGTAGAATGCAAATTACTATCAAGAAAGCGCATATAAAACATTCTGATGACCAAGAAAAATTACAATCTGAAAATTGTTGGAATTCTCAGCCCATACTAAATGCTTACGTTTCGTTCGTAATAACTATACATCTGATATAAAGTTTTAAAAGACATACATGCACCCTTCGCAGGTTAAACTGAAGGCAACTATTAAGTCGATGTTGATTGTTGAAATAGCGGTCCAAAAACCTCGTAGTGTTACTTTTGTGCCAAGGAAGGGCCTACTTTGAAATATATTCGTGTTTTAGTGGTCCGCATTGGATTAGCGCACTTCAAATTACCCGCCTCAAGAATCGGACCGACCGGACCGACTCATGTCACTGTTGCCGTGCACGTTACCCAGCTTTACTGCGCTAGTAGCAGCAGACCGAAAGTAGCGGGAGCCACAGTAGCAACAACGGCCATTGATCAATTTTCCACCATTGGCTCTAAGATTGCAGACGTTTTTTATTCAACTGCGCCCTGCTAGACGGCACCACCTATCCAGTGTAAGCACGTGAAAATTGAATTTTTAACCACTAGGTTCATTCCCCATAGTAACGTCTGACGGTTCTTTTTTTCATAAATCAAACAGAAATCAACAGGCAGCATTTTATTGCGTCTCTTGATACACTGAAGGTTTTTTATTTAGTGCAGCTAGATTCATTACTAGTGATCAATTGTAAGCGGTCCGTCTGATGTTATCGGAATCATTTTGAGATTGTCCTACTGCGGTGCATGTGTTCTTGTGCATTTACCTTAATTTCTCGGTAAATAGGGCGCTGTTATTGATAATATTGTCATTTTAGATGTTGTCATACATTGAGCTTTCACTCTGACGTAAAGTGTTATTTGACTTTAGTGTCCCTTTAAGGTATGTGGGGGCAAAGTTTAATCCCGATTGGTCGATCAGAAGTACCGAAAACATGATATTCAAACTCAAGAAGTTGCCCAAAAATGAATCTTGAGAAAAACGCATTCTAAAGGTGTAAGTGAAAGGTCGTCTATGCAGAAAATATTTTTTTTTAAATGATTTCTTTCGTAATGAGAGTTTGTCAATTATGCAAAATGCAATGGCAAGCAGCTAGGTGACAATTTCTTGAGGACTCTAGACAATGAGCGCTTCTTAATTTTTTTGTAGCAACCTTGTGCTCTTTAAAAGCGATATAAACCTACTTTGAGTTAAATGGCAATCTTCAGTTTTTTGTCATGAAAGTAAAAAAACTAAACTTGTGAAAGTGAATAAAAATAAAAAATTAGTAATTTTGGAGAGAAAAAAAAACATATTTTTCGACTTGCTTCTACTCTTAATAAAGCACAAATGCTCGCATTAACTGTGATCATGACCCTTGAACTTCGGGAAGTTGATACCAGCATGGTTATTTGGCTTGGGTAATAGTACATGGGCTATTTTCTTCGCTAGTGGCCCTCAGTTCAATTGATGCATAGAAAGATGAAGCACTTCTGTTGGAATTTTATTGAAACTGTCTAGAGTAAATCGGTGATTTCATGTGAATCTTGCAGTAAAGAAAAAGTTCTTTAATATGTTTGTTCATAAGTATGTTTTTCTATGAGTAAACATGGGACATATATTTTAATTGGTAGTGATTATAATAACAAAACCAGATACTATAACTATACAAGAGTTTTAAAAAATATATAAGGTGCCCCAGCTATATAATGGACTAAGCTAGTGAATGGTAGTTGTACGAAGGTTGTTCTGTTTACGCTACACTGCGAAGTATTTTTTGATAACAAATGAGCTTAATATTTTAATCTAATGGGTAAAAGAATTGTTGGTCTAATGTTGTTGACCCAAGTACCAAATTATTCTTTGCATTTAGAACCAGCATATTCAATTCTTCCTATTTAAAAAATTTAAAAGAGTAAATGTAGAAATCTAAAATAACTGTGTGTGTATGCAGTCCGGGACTGTGCAGCAGCAATTATTTCATGTAAAGTTGGGTTGTTTGACAGCAAATGTTCTAGCTGTTATGGTGACCATCTGCAACCTATTCGAAAAAATATTGTACTCATTTACAGCCATGCAATTTGAACAGGAATATTTGACAATTTTGACACAAAGCGAATTGAAGAATCATACTCCAATTCAATAGTAGGCTCTATTTTACTTGTTCTCAAAATATTAAAAAAAATAGGAAGTATTGAAGGAGTAAAATATGCTTACCAATTTCTAACCCATGTTCTGAAAAGTACTCAGTAGTCGTCATTCCTTTAAGTTCCCGCAATCCTGTGTACATTGATATGTGCTTACAGAAATGATTGACGATGGCCAGACTACTTTAGATTTCATGACAACCAAAACATACCTTTTACCAAAAAAAAAAAAAGCAAGAATGGCTCATCACAGATGAGGTGAGCATGCCATTTATTCATAAAGAATAATACACTTTTGATCTTGTTCTAGTTTTCAAAATTGGAGAGCATGAGCAGATCTCAAAGATCTGCTCATGATCTCGAAGACACGAGTTCAAAGGTACACGATAGGTGTGTCACGACTAAAAGTGATGAAGGGGTGGGCAAGGCCATGAAGACATGGGGGGGCAGATCTTATTGCCCGTATTTACTCAGGTTTATGAGTCATTGATGTAGTTATTGAAGAAGAATAACAAAAAAAAGGTCTATATACTAAGAAACCTTCTCTTTCTTTTTTATGACATAGGCTGTGCACACAAGAGCAATAGTTGTTCGTACACTGTAGCACCCCCCAGATAACTCACTTTCAAGAAATGTGCTACAAAAGCCCTTCAAGTTCCTTTTTGCTTCAGTTATAGGAGCACGGCCGTTAAAACAGAAAATCATGGGGCGGGAAGTGTCACTTAATTGAAGAAGTTGCCTACTGGTTACTGCTGCTTGAAACTTGCTGCTGGTGCTTCATATGACCATCTAAAAGCAATTATTTGTAATAATAATTGTTGGGGTATTATATATTAAAATCGCAATATGATTATGATGGATGTCGTAGAAGAAGGCTACAGAAGTTTGAATCATTCGGTGTTCTGTAATGTCCACCTAAATCCAAGTACTGTCATTCTTTATGAAAAACAATACGCGATTGCGTGACCTGCTCTCTACAACAGCTGCCTACAGTATCTCTGAGCGATTGTCCAGCGGCCATAAGTTGTTGTTTTGTTTGCCAATAGATGATGCCAAAAGCCAACATCTTTTCTTTTGCTGTCGGTTGATGATGGTCCTGTAGGCAGCCACTGCAGAGCGCAGGCCACGTGCTCATATGTTCCCTTTCATAAATGACGACAGTGTACATGGGCCTTTTGCTTTCTGCCTCTATCGAAATGCGGCCGCCACAGCAAGGATTCGATCTCGTGAGCTTTGGGTCAACAGTTGAGCGCCATAACAACCACTTGACAATCATGGCGAGTAGAAGCCAACAGTACTGCAAAGGGGTAAGGGTCAGAGAAAATTTACACGCGGTATTTGATGGTATTGCCGAATAACTCTAGTGGGCTAAAGGATGCTTCATTTTTGGGCTCCATCTATGCAGTATCTCCTTTTCTCTTACTGTTAGAGTTGTGTGAATGCCTAAAGTATTCACATAATGATTTGAATAGTGTGCTATTCAGTTTGGTTTTTGAATTGTATTGTCGCTGTTTGTAAGTATGGTCACTTTTTTCAATAAATCTTTCTTCGGTGTCCTGGTATAGGCATAAAATATGAAAACTAGTGTAGCAGGCTGTCACTCTAGAAACCAACTTTTAGTTGCTTGAGGAGTCCATTGTTGGCAAAAGAAGTGCTCATCTTTTTTTTTTTTTGATTAATCCAATTACACTTTTAGTAAACAATGCTTCACAAGTGAAATGTAATGACAGGAACTTACTGATATTGTGATTACTGTGTTTGAGTATTCCGTGTAATAATTGTGAAAATGGTTGTTGATTGTTCAAAAATTATTTGAAAGGTGTTCAATATTTGGCTAATTAAATTCAGTAAAAAATAAATGCTCTTCACATATCATTGCACTGTGTAGTTCTTAATATGTTCACTCAACTAGAGCAGCAAAGGCTAGTGCAGGTGTATTGAATAATGCCTGTGTACTGCTTGGATTTATGTTTTACACTTGAAGAACTGCAGTTGGTCAAAGTTAATGCATAACCCCTTCACTACTGTATCTCTTATATACTGATGAAATGCTTTTGAAGATTATACTCCATCAATTATCTGTGGATTCATTTACTTATCTGGAAGATACAGGAAGCCTCATATGTAAGCACAATAATTTTATTTGGGCATTTCTTTTGTATTCTTCTCATTGTTGGAGTGATACGATCGTTCATTTGATACTCAATTAGGAGATGAAAAGCTAAAGAAGAGAAAAAAAGGCATGTTTTGTAAGAGAACCTGTGATTTAAATCGTAGGGTTTTTTTGTGATGTTTTTAGCCATGAGCATGTGAATGGTGAAATCAAATGAATAGGCTGAGCATTGTTTGCAGGCATAAACTTAAACAACATAAAAAAAGTAGGTCTATACCGACATAAACAGCGTGCCAGCTAACCCAAGAAGATGGCTTATTGAAAATGTGTAGGGTCTAGTGTTTTCAGTTTATGTAAACCAACGAAAATTGTAAGAAAGGTAAACCAAAATCAATTTTTTTTTTTTAGAAATTCAGTTTTGACTAAAGAACAAGTTTACTGAACAGACAACTCTGTCATTGCTGTGTGGCTGTAAGCCACACAGCAATTCACAGCAATTGCAGTGTTGTCTGCCACACCAGTCATTCCTTTTAGTGCAAGGAATCTCGTGAGGTTGAAGTCATGCTTCAGCCTGCCACCTAACTATGTGAATGATTTTTCTTTTTTATTTGACATTACGATGGAAAAAAGAAGCTAAGGAGGGAAACTGGGGTGCATAGGTTGGTCTGAAAATTCCAGCTTTCAGTCTTTGCATTTGTTGTACTGTGAGAGTCGTGGAAGAGGAAATGCATGAAGATGTTAATTTTTTTAGCATTTAAATTTTTTAGTAATAAAAAAATGTTATGTAACATTGCTGAGTAATTATGACTTCATAATTCATTTTTCCCCTGCAAATACAACTTGGTTGATTGAATGAGGCTAGTGCTTGGTTACAGTACTTCAATAAAAAAATTATTTAATTAATTTTGGTTCTTGATTTCTTTAGAAGCCAACCGTGGGGCTTCTTGATGCAGATGTGTATGGACCCTCCATTCCACGCATGATGAACCTGAGTGGTGAACCAGAATTGACTCAACGTACGTTCAAAGTGGTTTCGCCCCCCCCCCCCCCCTCCCCTTTTTTTGCATGCTAAAACTAGAAAGTGGTTCTTGATTGTTTTTTCAGTGCTAAGCATAGGTAGTTGCCATTTGCTGTGCCATTGAAGATATTGGCTGTGTGCGTTAACTTCCATGCTGACATATATTTAGAATATACAACTTTTTTTATGTTCCCGTTTTATGAACTTGCTGTTAGGAGTTTTCTCAATGGGCTCTTTGTCATTGTAAATTAGTTCGTGTTGCGTTAATACTGCTTTGTAATTTTACTGGACTGAATGGGATGAGTGCTTTGTTAAGTGTATGGTTGAAGGTAAAAAAACCGGGAGACACTGAGCCGATCAAAGTGAAAGTTTTAAAAACACTAAAAAAAAAAAGACGTTTTGGCTCCCACACGGAAGCCTTGTTCACAGGTGAAATGAAAAATCACAAAATTATCAAAATTAGTGTATGGTGGGGATGGTGGTTGTGATGTTGCAACAGGCGGGGTTAGCCTAGCCTAAATGGCTGACAATTGTTTCGCCTGAGCATCTCTTGAGTTATAGGGGTCCGTCACCAAATGTCACTCAGCCCAATGTCTCTTAGAAAAGCCGTCAGGATCCGTTGCTCGCTCCTCGCAGTTCCATGCTGCTACATGTGGTTTTAAGCCTCACTTCTTGGGAACATTTATTTTAGGCAGTAGGGGTAACACATCTTGCATTGAAACATTTTCATGGGGACGCTTGCAGAGGAAGACTATGTTATGAAAAAAAAAAAAAAAAATAGCAGACTGTTCCGCAAATGAGCTAAAGTAAACACCACACACTTCAGAATTTTTTCTTATGTGGTTTTTAAAGAAAAAAGAATAGAAAAGTGAGCCCTGTAACTGTCTGCATCAGAGTGCGACACCTCAACAGTTGCTCACACGCGATGGGAGTAAGGAAGGATTAAAAGGATAGGATTTAAAGGTATATATAAAGAGAGGAAGGAGAGAGCGAGGCGCAGCGACAGCTAGTGATGGAAGTAAAGAGGAGATAGGAAAGATGGAAACGGTTGCAGGAGTCTGAGGACAAGGCACCACTCAGCGAGAGCTCATGTCGGCGGCAGGCGATGGCGTAGGGGGAGCCCAGTAGGCGAGAGCTGCGCTGTCGTCGAAGATCGCAGGGGCACAACCGGTCGGCACGAAATCCAGCGAGCGAGTGTTCAGAATTTTAGCATCTACCTTTGTACGTGTGCTATGGTGTCGCATTGTCTGTACGTTTGTGCAGTGTTAGGCAGTTGGCGGTAGCACTTGTGTGCGATACCTTTTGCTATGTCTGTGACCATCCATTATGCTGATTCTCCTCACAGGCTCCTTTATATTGATTTTGTTTTTTGCAGTGCACAAGTGACTGTATTTTTAATTTTTTTTCCACAGAAAACCTTATGAAGCCACTCGTTAATTATGGGATTAAATGGTGAGCTATTTCGTATATCGATAGTTTTTATTGTGTACTTCCACAGGAGTATGCAACGTCATCATGTACTATCAGCGAAATGTTACAGAGCACTACAAAACATATGTTACTGAGCACTACAAAACATATGTTACAGTTGAGTGGGGAGAGCACATTTTCATCACTTTATATGATGATTGATGAAGTGGATCATCATATCCTGCACTATAGCATTAACCCCATGTGTGCATGATACCAAATATCTCATGGTCTAGAATTTTGCATTGTTCAACATTTTCGTGCTTTGTTAGGGAAAGTGTGCAAGCAAAAGGTTGTGTATATAGTCAGATACTGACAGAATGCAGGGATAACTTTATCCCATTTATATATGACACCAGTGCTTATGTGCTCTTGCGTTCCCTCACCTTGTTGTCTCCTTCTCTAATTTATGTGGTGTTGTGACTTAAGGTACTTGTTGGCTTCAATGTGTGCTTCTTTGCAGGCAATAAACAATATAGATTATACTATTTCATTTATAAAGATGCCAGAATAGTAACTAGCTCGACCTTTTCTATGCCAAGGATATGCATTATTTCTCTATGCAAATCCTTCATATTATGCTAGTGAACGATGACACTCTTCGAAGGATCAACATTCAGTTTTGTTTAATGAATGGCCCATAGCAGTTGTTTAGTACTCTGCTGCGAGTTACACTTTAAAATAACGCTAGACTTTAAGAAAACTAATATTCTGAGAGTGTAATAAGGAGGAGCACACTGGAAGTCTACAAGAAAACCTTTTTTTTTTCCGTAAAGCTGGCATGGAAGAGAGGCACCCGTTGGGACAATGGCTGTTTTTAAAGCTTACATTGTTGTGTTTGTGGAAGCTGAATTCCTGCAAACAGGCCACTAGACCTAGAAAACTTTAGTGGATTGTGTTCATAGCTTCAACTTGGCACTGGTGATTACGAGGTCATCATAGAACCTCCTTTTACCTCTCTTGGACGGGCACAGTCAGGTGAAACCTGTTTGCTATCAGTGCCTCTGTGATATTTTTTATAACGAAAGCTGTTATGAGATCACAACTCGGGTCACACGCAGTTGTCTGCCGTCGTCGCCGGTGTTCGTAACCACATGACGCGAAATTAGAAAAAAAACCTAGCACCAATGACACAGTGGGGCTCGAACCCGGGTTCGCTGGGTGGTAGCCCAGTATTCTACCACTGAGTAACACCGGTGCTTGTATGCAGGCTTGACCTAGCACCAATGACACAGTGGGGCTCAAACCCAGGTCCGCTGGGTGCCAGCGCAGTATTCTACCACTGAGCTACACCAGTGCTTGTGACTTCTTGTCAAACTTGCCTTAGACAGGCTTGATGACAGGAAAGCAATCGCGTTAATACAACTTATAAGGCATTTTAAAACAGCGAAAGAACAACCAGTCGTACAATGTGATTAGCGTAACGAGTGGGCTGTTCAATGCTCCAGCCCATCACAAAAGCTTGTTCTTGTTTCCCTATTGACTGTGGCACATACCCACTTCAGCCATAATTCCTCATCGTCGGCAGCCACTGCATGAACAATTGGCACAAAATTCCTTGCAGGTGTTTAGCAGATACCACACTTTTCAGAAGAATGATGAAAAATAGCATAGGGAATGCCGCCCTACTACCCAAATAAATTTAATAATAATGACCTAGTGGGTATCAAGCAAGTGTGCTTGCAGTAGTTACCCAATGAGTGTTGAGAAAAGGCTTTGAAAGGCGGCTCTTCTAGCTTTTGCTTTGACTGTGCTGCGCCTTCCACGTAGGCCTAGCATTTTTTCTTGCAGTACGAGTGATCATGCAATGTAGAAAGCACAACAAAAGCATGCTTTACTGTTCGTTATGAGGAATATCAAGATTTATATTGACTGCTCTGTGGCCTGTCCTCTTTGCAACTCAAAAACACGAGTCAAAGAAATTGTAGTAAATCATAGCATAAAAGTAGTAAACAGCTGATATTGAAGCCATTATAACAGTGCATTGGATATAGTGAAAAGATTGCTATTCCCGGCACCAATTTTGTAGATGTACATGTATTTGAAACCCCGTTTCAGCAAAGTGCAATTGTGTGTATGCATATAACCATAACGGCATAAAACTTTTTGTAACTATCCATTTTGTTGAGAAATATGGGCAGTAAGAATGGGGTATAGCATCTAAAACAGAGTAATAGTCACAAAGAAGTAAATTTGGCTCACCCTTTAACTTCGTTTTAACAAGGTTTAACTCTTTATTTATGAGAATATACACCCTGATTATACAACTTTTAGAGGACCACGCAAAACCGTCGTATGACCCGAGCGTCATATAATCGAAAAACTAAGATTATAGACCGTGACACTATGCCTTGCCCGAAAAACGGGTACAGACTGCCTGAATAAGCCCACGGCACAACCTTCTGCCTCTGCAATAAGGGTAGATTAAATTATTGTTGACAGTGGTAGCTAACGGCAGCAATAAATAGTTGAAGGAGGCCCGAGCGAATCTTTATTCTCAGCCTTAAAAACAATCAAATCCAACGTGCATCTTTCTACCAATAAATAGAGTCCGAAAATTGCCTGCGTGTGAAAATGAAACCAAAACCGTGTTGCCGTGAGCCTTCTATGAGAAGAGTCTGATACAGTGCCATCGCTATCGCATAATGGCGACGGCCAACGAGTTTATGTACGATGCATTTGTGCGCGACTGAGCTGTGTGCGTTGGAGTTTGTTGCCTCGTAAAGTGCAGCTAGTGGTGTCCCGCTGTTGTTATGAACGTTGACGTCAAGTTAAAGTAATTTAGCAAGGCGAAAGCAGCTGCGTCGTGCCCTCAAGCATGCGCAAAGCAGTTACTGCGAGTGTGACACCCCCGCAGGGGCATCTGTGCAAGCAGGCTTGGTGTGTAATGACGCAACGGACCCGAGCTAATGGGGGGTTTCGACCTCTCCAATGCCTAGCCGTGCGTGGCTTTGCCGTGTCCGGGGAAAAGGGGATCCTGGTGGTTGAGCCGACGCCGGGTGCTTGGACCTTTAAGGCCCCCGGCAGAGGCAACACACCCCTTTGGCACCGGCTTCACGCAGACGGCATCCCTGGGCGGACCCTCCCAAGGGAAACCGGCAGCCGCCTTTTCCTATCTCTCTCTTCCTACATCTTCGTCTTTTCTCTCTGAATTTTTCCTGTCATCTCCTCATCTCTGTTTACTTCCATCTTCCAGGCGGCAAGGGTTAACCTTGTGTATGTACCCTCTCTTCGTCACATAATATTGGGTCATAGTGGCTTTGTACAGCTGGCACTGGCATACATTTTTATAATTGTGCTGCTGCGTCCCCATGCTGGGCTCCGTGGTGGGTGGTTGGCATGGCTGCCGAATTTATATATACTTTATGGCCTCTTTTCTATTCCCCAAACTGTCTGATCGCCCTCGCTCTAAGAGGGGGCGCACCGAAGGAATGCTGAATGTCTTTCTAAAACCCCAAAAAATCTTCCCGCGCTTCCATCTGATTCACTGTGAAACACAAAAGAACGCAAGAACAATCTCTTCATTTGTCGTATCAAAATGCCTCACCAATACCCTTCGTACAGGTTATCAGGCTACACGCATGGCTAGTGGCGACCTTCTTCTCGAAGTACAAAGCAAGGCCCTGTAAGAAAATCTTTCAAAACTCACCTCTTAGGAACCACACCTTTATCTGTCACACCGCACTGTTCCCTGAACATTTCCAAAGGTGTAGTCTTTGATTAAGATCTAATCAACATGACAAAGAGTGAGCTCCTTGAAGGCTGGAACGAGCAGCAGGTAACGCATCTTCAGAGAATTAAGGTCAGGCGTGACAACTAAGAAACGCCGACAAAACACCTCATCCTTACATTCTGCCCAAGCACACTTCCAGAATACATCGAAACAGGTTACTTGAAGTTAAAGGTCCAACTCTACATCCCCAACCCCCGACATTGTTTTAAGGGCCGGCGTTTCGGCCACGGCTCTCAGAGCTGCCGCGGCCGTCAAACTTGTGCAAAGTGTAGTTCGCACGAACACGCTACAGACAACTGTGAAGAAACTCCCCACTGTGCAAACTGCAACGGTGGACACCTCGCTTACTCTCCTACATGTAAACACGAAAAAGAAATATTTACACTCAAAGTAAATGAAAACATCTCATTTAGGGAGGCGCGTAAGCATCTACCTTTGCAGGGTCTTTCGTTCGCAGAGGTGGCACGAAAGGGGGCAGCGCCACCAAAATCCGCGGCGCCCGCACATACCACGCAAAGTGGACAGGCGGTAGCGCCATTCACCCCCCTGAGGGAAAGTAGCACAGGCTCTTCCACCACCAAAAGGCTTGCAGGCCTCCAGACCTGAAGCACCAGATCCTTCTGTTTTGACAGATAGCCCTAAGACTTCCGTGCCTGCACGCGTGAACCGCGAGCGGGCATCCAGCACGTCGTTCGAGGTGATGGACACAACAGCAAGTCCAACGGTGTCTTTGGCGCCGAATGACATGCGTGGCTCTTTGGAGCGCGCCAGAAAGTAAAAAAACCATCACCACGGGGCCTGACAAAGGCTCCTGACTTAACGCAATACTTCTTTAATACACACAGCACTCATTTACACTCATAATAGATACGCAAATAATACAATGGAACGTCAGAGGACTGCCTAAAAACCTCGACGATATCCAAGAACTCTTACACAAACATTCACCAAATGTGCTGTGTACAAGAGACACACTTAAATTCCAGGAACACCAATTTTCTACGTCGTAATGTAATATTCAGAAAGGACCGCAATGACGCAGTAGCATCATCTGATGGTGTGGCCATTATAGTTGATCAGGGCGTAGCGTGTACACACTTACCACTACAAACATCCCTTGAGGCAGTGGCTGTTTGAGCAGTTCTTTTGAACAAACTTGTCAGCATCTGCTCTCATTACATACCTCCACATTACCATCTCGAAAAACACGAATTCCAGTCACTGATAGATGAACTACCCGAACCATATG